TATCTGTAGAAATCTTAATTGAGTTAAAACAAGATATTGTTTAATTAAAACCCCTTTGATGATTTCTATATTGATCTTTGCTTTTGAGCTGCTTATTCTGGAATTATTTTTTAAAAGAAGATTAACTGAACTTTGAAGTATTTGAAGCATACTTAATATATTTTAGGGCTGACTTATTCTACTGCACGTGGCAGTCATGAGGCATTTGAACAGATACGTTGACAGCTGAAGTGAAACAAATGAAAAGACGTCCTCTTCAGTTCAGTTTTTTTCTCTTATGAGTACACTCTAAATTCCTTGCAGACTTATTAAGCGCACTGAAAGGTAACTAATTCTGAAGTGTCTGAGTGGGGCAGAGAGCGGGAGATTTTCATTGTTGTAGTGAGTCTTGATACTTGATAATATTTCATATCACTCCCCTTTTGAGAGCCTGTTGTTTAAATAATGCTGGTATTAATATTAGCTGTCAGCTGTTGGCCAGGGCTGTGTGCTTGGTGATTCACATATGCCACCTTATTTCATCCTGCCAACGAACTTATGAAATGGGTGTTTTGACCTCACTTGTGCAGAGGAGGAAGTTGCAACTTAGAGAGGTGAAGTTATTAGTTCTGGTTAGCAATGGAGTTCAGGCTTGGGGTTCTCTGGAAACAGAGGCTGATTTGCAGCAGGTAGTCTGGGAGGTGATCCCAGAAGGCAGGAGGGAGGGAGCAGCCAGAGTGAGGCTGCAGAGGAGGAAAAACTAAGGAAGACAGGCATGACTGGAGCTGCTGCCCAAGCCAGCGAGCACTTGCCACTGCACCCGGATCGGTGGGGCGTGTTCAGAATGTTTCTAGAATCGTCCACCCGAGGATGGGAGACCAGGGCACTGGTACACTGAAAGCTGCTTCGATTGCCCAGAACTTCTGGGCTATGCTGGCTGTAGATTCCCTGGGCCTCAGAGAATACTCTGCCTGGAAAAGCAGAGACAGGCATCACAGGGCCTTGAGCCGGGCCCTTGTGCGCATACCGGCGAGCTCACACACAGCCCCTCCGCAGTGGCCACGGAGAGCAGAGGTCGGCTAGACGGAAGTGACTCGAGGCACCAGAACTGTCTGCTAAACGATAGAACCCAGCTGGGCCTGACTCTGAGACTGAATCAGACCATTTCCCCGTGAACACAGAAGTGAGATGGCAGGTGGAAGGGAGGGTGATGGGGAAATGTAGAGAAGACACATGGTAATTAACAACAGAATGAGGAGGATGCACAGGGAAATATTTTACATACAGTTACATGCAATCGGGAACATTTATTTTCCTGTTTGTGTTGCTTTGGTAAACATTAGTTGGTATGCCTTGCATATATGTAGATTAGAATATAAGAAGAATGCCCAGAATATTCTAAATATTAGATACTATGCCTGATTGAAGATTAAAACTAAACTCTGTTACTGAGTCCTAAGGTCTGTCCTGCATCTGGGATTACGTTGTACCCAGGAGTTGTGAAGCCTCGTGCTGGGAATGCGGGAAGTGGGGAGGGACTAAAGCAGATCACCTGGGGTCATTGCGAGATTGGCTACTACCTTTGCTTTGTTAAAAATCACGTGATAACCCCCCAAAGATGTTGACACTCCCCCCCACCTCCCAGATGAACTGGAGGGAATAATGCCTTGGGTGAAATTGTTTGTTAATATAGCTTATTAACCAGGACAGTGAGGTAGCTGAAATTTTCTGCTGATCACTAGATTTTCTGGTACCCTGTCCTTTTGCCAAACTTGCTAGAGCAGGGTGTCTGCCACAGGCTAGGTGGTACAGAATATTCGCTTAAGGGAAAGAACGCAGATTGTCCTTTTCATTCTCAATCAGCCAAATTCAGGCAGGGGCTGGAATTCATACAGTTGGGAGTGATCCCATATTGCTTTGTAATAGATCACCACAAACTCTGCAGTTTAAAATGACACAAATCTATCAGCTCACAGTCTGTAGGTCAGAAGTCCAGGCATGGTGTGACCGGGTTCTCTGCCCAGGGTCTCCTGAGGCCGAAGTCAGGGTTCGCCAGAGTCTAGCTCCTTGCAGTTGCAGGACGGAGGCCCTTTCCTCTTGCTGGCCGTCAGCCGGGGGCTGCCCTCAGGCCTGCCCCGTGGCCCCTCCATCTCCACAGCCAGCAAGAGAGCATGGCCCTGTGTCGGCTCCCTCTCTTGCCTCACGTCTTTCTCCAGGAAAGGTGCAGTCCCCTCACGAGCCTGGCTGGGTCCCCACTGGTGAAGTCAGCCCTACCACAGAGCAACACCTGGGCCTGGGGTAGAAGCCATCTCAGTCACAGTGCTGGGGGTGTGCAGGGCGGGCACACCAAGCAGCAGAGGTCTGGGGCCCCCTTAGGACTCTGCCCATACCCCCTGTGAAGTGCAAAGGACTTAAGATCCAAAAGCAAGTTTAGAAATAACCCTTGGCCCATGTACCAAGTGAATAATGGTGAACGCCTGGTCCCGATTTCATTTTTGTACTCTCCGTGCACACCCCGAGGAAAGGCTAAACCACTGGAAAATTTGGGGTCTGTGTTTGAATGACCAGCTAAGATTGATTGTGTTAGTAGTTCTTGCCTGGTATTTCTGACTCAGGCCTAACTTGACAGGTCACTGGCCACTGTAATTATCAGTTTCTTTCACATTATATGTGTTTAATGTACATATTGGGTTAACATTTCTATCCCAAATTTTCAGATGAGAAACGCTAACTGACTTAGCCAGGTTGCATGGTCAATAAACACTAAAAAGCCAAGATGAGGCACTTTCTAATATACCATGATGGAGTCATACTCCCTTTGTTGTTGGTACTTCAAAACTATGGCTCTAAATCTCTTATCTTTTTTTTCCAATTTTTTTTTTATTGTGGTAAAACACACATAACATAATTTACCATCATAACCATTTTAAGTGTACAGTTCGGTGGTATTAAATACATTAACATTCGTAATATTGTGTAACCATCGCCACCATCCATCTCCATACTCTTTCCTCTTCTAAAACTGAAACTCTGTAGTCATTAAACACAACTCCCCACGCCCATCTTCCACAGCCCCTGGCAACCACCCCTCTACTCTGTCTCTGTGATTCGACTACTCCAGGGACCTCCTATGCGTGGAATCACACAGTATTTGTCTTTTTGTGACTGGCTTATTTCACTTAGCATAATGTTCTCAAGGTTCATCCATGTTGTAGCAGGTGTCAGAACTCATTCCTTTTTAGGGCTGAATAATATTCCATTGCTACACATGCTTAACATTTCTTGAGTGCCTTACTATGTGCCAGGCACTGAGTTGGGTGACAGGATATTAAAATGAATAATATATGGTCACAGTCCTGCAGGCACTCCAAGTCTTTAGCTATTGTGCTGTAATTTATAAGTCAGCTACAGAAGTTTACACTCAGGGACATGAGGACATCAGGATGGAGCGTTTGAGTTAGCTGAGGGGGTACCTGAGAAGTTGGTCTTGAGGGGTGAACAGCTGTTTGTCACTGGCAAGTAGGTGACGTGGGTGGGAAGGTCGTTCCTGCAGAGGTGTGGAATGAAAGCCTTGACCGCCCAGGGACCGACAGGACGCACAGCAGATTGGGGGTGAGGAGGCCACCGTACACGCAGCTGGGGCAGCAGCCCGTTTGTCAAAGCCACGTGACGCCGTCCGCATGGAGTGTGGATGTGCGCAGCTGCTTATACCCGTTTCCTATCTCAGTCCCCTTTCAGACCCTAACCCAGGTTATTCTGTTTCCTTAGCTGAACTGGACGCAGAGCACACCCAGAAGGTCCTGGAAATGGAGCACACCCAGCAAATGAAGCTGAAGGAGCGGCAGAAGTTTTTTGAGGAAGCCTTCCAGCAGGACGTGGAACAGTATCTTTCCACGGGGTACCTGCAGATCGCGGAGAGGCGAGGTGAGTTGGGGACAGGGCTGCTGGCAGCAGGGACTTGCTGTGTGTGGGGAGGGTGCTGGGCGGCTCTCCCCACAGAGAGGGTGTGGGGTGAAGTCTCTGGAGCCCCGTCCCACTGGCAGACCTCAGCGGTCCCAGGGTACGTGCCAGGCCCCGTCTTGCCCTAGCTTTGCCCTTCCTGTGCATCTAGGCTTTAGTTGGAGATAGTTTTTTTCAATACTTTTAAAGATTACAAATGCAAATTAGATTTATAGAAAACTTGGAATTTTTTTTTTAAAGTAAAACAGACATAAGAAAAATGACCCATACATTATTCTACAGCACAAAATAAACCCTATTCCTGCCTTAGTGTGTTCCTTCCAGTTTTTGTGCATGAGTCTAATTGGTATCCAGCTGCACATATGTGTGGGTTTGTATCTAACTTTTCTTAGTATTGTACAGGGCTCTTCCCCATTATTAAAAAGTCTTTGAAAGGGTGTGTTTTAAAGGCTGCATCTTTGTCGTGACATATCCTAACCGGCTTTCCTGCTTGAACATCTAGAATCTCTGCCTCTCTAAACGGTGCCGTAAGGAACATCCAGACATAAAGGAACAGACTGACTAGAGGAGAAGTCAAGACTCTGGATTCCTTGCTGCGGCTTTTGCTTGGGAAGAACTGGGGGCCTCAGGAGGGGCAGTGTGGGTAGGCAGGGCCCGCCTGGGTGCTCAGGGTGGCGTGGCAGCCTCGCCCATTGCCCCGGCAGCGTGGAGCTGCGCCCAAGGGTTCTCCTGGACCCCCTCATCCCCCGAGCCTCTCGGTACTCAGCCTTCCTCCTTCCCCTGACCTTTGCTCTCTCTACCCCGCCCCCCACCCCCAGCCTAGCTCTGTGCCTTCCTATCTTCCAATTCTATGTCCCTCTCAGGAGAAGTTGAGGAAATCAAAGCACGAGGAAGGAAAATAATGTAAAGAAAACAGATTAACAGCAATGTTTCTGAGTGCCTCAGAGTGCACTGGTAGATGCAGATAGTCAATGATGTGAGTAATGCTGCTTTTACTTCGGAGGCTAGTACCGATTTGAAGCTTAACATCTTCATCTCCAGGGTCAGCCTTCTCCCTCCTTGTACCCCACTGATCCAGAGTCTGCCCTCCTCTGTGTGTTCCTCAGAGTGCGTGCAGGGACTTCAGTGTTGGGTGCTAGTTGCAGAGAGTGGCCTTCCATGGCTCCTCTGGGAGGAAGTGGAGGGTTTGCTCCAGGGATTTTTGTCCTGTCATGGGCAGCAGCTGAGAAGGACACTGTACCTTGGGTCGCAATAACAAAAAAACACAGACTGCATGACTTTAACAACAGAAATTTATTTTCTCTCTGTGCTGGAGGCCTGAGATCCAAGATCAGGGTGCCAGCACGGTCGGTTTCTGGCGAGGGCTTTCTCAGAGACGGCTGCCTTCTCACTGTGTGCTCACGTGGCCGGTGGGGTGCGGGGGAAGCTCTCTGGTGTCCCTTACAGGGCTGATCTCCTCATGGAGTCCATGACCTTAGCTAACCCTAATTACTTCTCAAAGGCCCCGTTTCCAAATACCCTCATATTGGGGGTCAGGAGCTTCAACATATGAGTTTGGAGGGACACAAACATTCGGACCATACAGATACAATATGGCCAACCCACAATTTTGAGCATGATGAGACACTGCAGCAATGTCTCATGGCATAGAGGAGATGCCAGGGTGAGGAGGAGAGTCAAAGAAACTCTATGGTCCTTTAGTTTGGCACTTGCTAGCTGTGCTCCTGTAGGCTTGGAGGAAGCAAAGAGAAAATGAAAGTGTCACTTAAGAAGCTCCTGTTTTCTCAGGGAGACCCTGGACAGACAACTGCATGGGAGAAGGGGGGCAGGTTCAGAAGTTGCTCTTTCTGTAGACGGCAAGCCCTCGTGACAGGGACTGGTCTCTGTCCTGCAGGAGCCTCCATGGCTACCCAGGTACAGTGCTGGCAAATCCTTGCTAGACAGATAGCAATAAAATATTAAGTAGTTAACATTTTATGGTTTTGAGTGTCTCAAGAATAATTTTCTTTCTGTTTCCAGAAAGTGTTGGGTTTTTGTTTTTTTTTTTAAGGTAAAAAAATGGAGTCAGGCACATGTTGCCAATATATATGGTTTCGAAAGCATCGAAGAATAAAATTCGAGGCCTTGGGCTTTTTAACTCTCTTTTTCAGCTCGTGCTGAAAAGCTGTCCGTAAACAGCACTCAGGCATTTCTCCGCAGGGCTGTTCAGAGCCATCCTTAGCTTTCCCAGCCTGACAAGTCATGCCGCCCCTTCTTAAGGAGGAATCTTCATCTCCAAGGATTAATATGGGGACGTTTAATTTAGAAGAATCAATCAAAATAAAAATTCTCTAACAGTGAGATGGTATTTTGGACTCATTCCACTAAATCAGAAATAGCAGTCAGAATTTTTCTCACTTTCAAAAGCATTATTTTTTAATTATGACAAGGCCACGGAAAGTTTTATGCAGAAAATGACCAGAGTAAAGGGTGAAGGCACATTTGTGCCCACTCGGATCATGGTAAGGCTAGGTGACAGAGCAGGGAGCCTCTCCGGCTTGAAGGCTGAGGGCAGGGCCCCAGGTGCCGAGATGCAGAGGGGACCTGGCACCTGCCACCTGCCCAGCAGAGTTCTGAGTGCTGTTGGACATAATTAGGCACTTTCTAAGCCCCCAGCCCAGGTTTGACCTTCCACCTGACGTGATTCCCATTTTCCCAGAAAAGCATTTTCATTGCTTTCATTTTATTGCTACGCGTCAGGGTATCCTGACCAGTGCAGCTACTTGTTAACAGTTCACCTCGGAGATGCCCTGTCTGTGCCTGCGTTTTCTGGCTCTGGGTTCCACAGTTAGATTTCAGCTTCCTGTGGGTCAGGCCCTGTGCCCGTGGGGACTGCAGCTCAGCTCCAGGATGTTCCAGGGTAGACCCAGTGTCCTGGGAAGAGTATGGGGTAATGTTTGGGCCAGTGATAAAATTAGCAATAATATTAGAAAAGATAGAATTAACAGGCAAATGCACCTATGTGCATATTTTGATACTCATCCATGCTGATACATTCAGCTCTAATTTGATTTCCATTCCTGAATATGTTTCCATTGAATAAATATGGTATAATTTATTCTTCATGTATTGATGGATATTTGTTTCCAGTTTTCTTTTTTATTAAAAACAATGCTGGTGTGGACATTCCTATAATACATCTCTCCACACACATGTGTAAGAGTTGCTTTAGGCCAGTGGTTCTCAAACTTGAGCAGCACAGTCCCCTGGAGGGCTGTTCAGATGTGGGTCCCTGGGCCCTACCCCAGCATTTCCGATTGTGTACATCTGGGGTGGGGCCCAAGGATTTGCATTATCAACAAGTTCAAGCCAGGTGGTGGCTCACACCTGTAATCCCAGCACTTTGGGAGGCCAACAGGGGAGGATCATTTGAGGCCAGGACTTAGAGATCAGCCTGGGCAACACAGTGAGATCCTGTCTATATGAAAAATTGGCCAGACATGGTGATGTGCACCTGTAGTCCCAGCTACTGAGGAGGCTGAGGCAGGAGGGTAGTTTGAGCCTAGGAGTTGGACGTTGCTGTAAGCTGTCGGCCTAGGCAACAGAGCCAAAAACCTCGTCTCACAAAAAAAAAAGGGGAGCTCCAAGGTGATGCTGAGGGACCACACTTTGAGAACTACTTCTTTAGGGTATATAACTACTTATTTAGGATAATCATGGTGATTACTGGTCATAATGGCATGCATATCTTCAATTTTACTAGCTTCTGTCAAATTGCTTACCGAAACATTTATACCAGTTGACCATCTCCCTAGCCTTGTATGCATGTTCTGATTACTCTATATCTTTGTCAGCACTTGGTAGTATCAGATAAATTTCTGCCAATCTGTTGGCATGAAATGATATGTTATTTTGGCTCTAATTTCCTTGATTGCCCTCTTTTCTGTTAGTTTGTTTTCCTTTATTGAGTCTTATACTTGTGGATATTGATCTTTGCTGATTGTATCTGATGCAGATAACTTCTCTCAATCTGTGCCTTGTCTTACCTATTTTATTTTTTTGGACACAGGGTCTTGCTCTGTTTCTAGGGCTAGAGTGCAGTGGTATCATCACAGTGCAAACTCCCAGGCTCAAGCAATCCTCCTGCCTCAGCCTCCCAAGTAGCTGGGACCACAGGCACACGCTATGACACCCGGCTAATTTTTCTATTTTTTTGTAGAGACAAGGTCTCACTCAGGCTGGTTAAGAACTCCTGGCCTCAAGCAGTTCTCCTGCCTTGGCCTCTCAAAGTGCTAGGACTATAACCACCTGCATTATCAATTTTAGAATAGTCTTTGCAAAATCAGCTTATTGTAAGGCAATCACCTTTACCCATTTTATTGTTCATGGTTTATGCTTTTGTATCTTGCTTAACAAATCCTTAATTGCAAGTTCTAAGGACATTCTACTGTGTTTTATTCTAAAAGTTTTAAGGCTTTCCATTTTGTTTGGCTCTTTAGTCCACTGCTAGTCGACTTTTGTGCATGTCATGAGGTAGGGATCCGATTTGAATTCCTTCCGTAGTGATAACTATTTGTGTACGCTACGTCACACTGCCTTCTGTCTTCGCCAATTTCCATATATTTGAAGAGTTGTTTCTAGGTTCTCTTTTCAGTTCCATTCTTTTATCTTCTATCTCTGAGCCAAAGCCATACCGTCTTACACTCACTCATCAAGCAGTGGTTCTCAGCTGGGGACTCTTCTGGCCTCGGGACATTTGGCAACCCCTGGAGACCATTTTGCTTGTTGTGACTGGGGTAAGGGTGTGCTACTGGCACCTGGTGGGCAGAGGCCAGGCGTGCTGGTAACACCCTACATTGCACAGGACAGCCCCACAGGGAAGTGTGGTCCAAGTGTCATTACTGGCAAGGCTGGGAAACCCTGTTTTATAGAAAGTTTTGAGTATATTTTGGGGCGATTCCCCTGCCCTTCATCCTATACGTATTCATACATTTTTCTTCAGAGTTGTCATAGCTATTCTTGGCTCTTTGTCCTTTTGTATAAATGTTATAGTTTCAAGTTTTTTGGAAAACCTTGTCCAGAGTTTGACTGGAATTGCATTAAGTTTCTAGACTATGGCAGAATGGGCCTGTTAACGGTATTGATTTTTCTGCGAGAGCATGTCTCTCATCATGTGTCGGGTAGAAGTTGCCTCAGACACTGTCTGGGACGAGTGACTTCTCTGTTTGAAGAGCTGCCTTTTTATCTGATGGATATAGAGATTTTCTATTTCTTGTTAATTTTGGCAGGTTTTCCATAGAATTGTCTTTAGGTTTCAAATATATTAGTATAGCATTGCCTATAGTGCTCTTTTCAATATTTGCTGTATTTGTGGTCAGGTTTGCTTTTGCATTCCTAAAATTGTTAATTTTTGCCTTTTATTTCTATTCATGATGAATCTTACCCAGAACATAATCCTTTTTGTTTTTCTCCCCTAAGGAACCAACTTTTTTGTTCTTCCTCTCTATGGTTGCATTAATTCTTCCTCTTTACTTTTGCTTTATTTGGGCATTTTTTTTTTTCCTAATTTAAACTGAACGTTTAGGCTTAATTTTCAGTGTTCCTCTCTAATAAGGCATTCAAAGCTATGGATTTCTTGTTTACGGTACCATTTTTTCCTACAAGTTTTGATGTTTAGTAGTTTCTGGGCATTTAACTTTTTTCACTAAGATTTCCTATTTGATGTATAAACTGTGTTTTAAAATCATTGGATATGTGAAAGTTTTCCTAGTTACTTTTTGTTACTGATTTCTAGTTAAATTTCATTGTGATTGGAGAATAGGAGAATAAGATTTTGGTTTTCTCTGTTACTAACTTTGTGGCCGCTAACGTCAGTCACCAAACGGGTGTATTAACACACACCTCCCCCAAGATTATGGATGTTGTATTTTCATTGTCATTCTGCCATTCTTTAAAACATAGCCAAAAATATAGTCCTGCAGAAGTTCTGAATTATCTTCCCGGTGAATTGAACCTTCCAAAAATCATTACTACTCTTCATCCCAATATTGCTTGTTTCCCCTTAAGTTCTATTTCGTTTGATACAGATATAGCTTTATCAGTTTTCTTCTTAAAATTAATTGCCCATTGTATGCTTTCCATTTTTTGAGAAAACTTTTAATGTTTTTTGTCTTTTCATTTCAGGAATATTTCCTATAAACAGAATATAGCTGGATTTTATCATTTTGTTTCAGTTATATAATCTCTTAACTAGCAAGTTTGGTTTTTTGACATTTACTGTGATTACTGACCTACCTGGCTTTATTGTCATCTTTATTTGGTGCTACAGCATTTTCCTGAAAATTTCCCTATGCTTAATTTTAGTCCATTTTTCCCCTTCCTGCCCTTTTAAGATGGCACAGACAGAAATAGGAGCCTATGCCCCTTTCAAAACTGAAGTCAAACAAAGGCCTAATGTTGAAAAGCCAGAAAGGCCTTGCTGAAAGGTGTCCATGGCCCCAGAGAGAAAACCCCCCAGCCACCCTCAGAAGACTGCTCCTGAGAGGAACAAGTTTGGGCAGCGGGCTATTGTCAAGTCCCCCTGACCAGTCTGCCTCACAGATCAAGGACAGTGCTCCGGTGTCCTCTGCGTGGCCACACTCCACACCCGGGTCAGGTCTGAGGCAGGCAGAGCAGGCCGACTTCCACTGGCTCCTGACTATGTCGCTTTGGAAGTCGCCACCAAGCATGGGATCATCTGAACTATAATCAACTTTCACCCACCTAAAAGAGAAACTATACACTCCTTACCCCCATTTAAGTGTAGAACTTTGATGATTTTGCAAGCCTAATGATAATGAGACTCTCACCTTCCTGCCAGGTAAAAAGGGATCCTAGGCAACTTCTGAGCACACCGTGTCATTACTGTTGAGCAGGTTAATTGGGCCATAGCGACTCCCCTTCACGCCTGCTGTGTTCCAAGCTTCCTGTCACTCACACACGTACAAGTCTCTGCTAAATATGCTTTCTTGTACTTAGATCTTCCTTCTTTATACCTTCAGTGAGAGTAGGTTCATGGTAAGGTGTTTTTTCTTGGTCTGACTGTGCTTATATCTTACACTTGATCTTAAATGATATCTAATGATGTATCATTTTGGAGATGACATTTATCTCTCCTCTTTGAACTTATTCTGCTGTCTTCTGGCTTTTATTATTGGTGTTCAGAAGTTGCCTGTCATCCTAATTATTTCCTTCTTTTGCTTAACCTGCCCTTTCTCTCTGGCTGCCTTTTAGAGAGCCTTTGTCTTTGATGTTCTTCAACTTCAAAGCAATTGATGTAGGTGAGGATTGCTTTTATCTTGCTTGGAATGCATTTTGCTTCTTAAATCTGGGTCCTTAGGTCTTTTAATTCAGGAAAATAATCAGCTTCTTTGAATATAGTTGCTCTTCCATTCTCTTCTTTTGGAACTGTGAACATATGTTAAATTTTTGCATTTTCCACATCTCTTAAGTTCTTTTGTATTTTCCATCTTTTTGTTTCTGTGCTGTATTGTGGCAAATACAGTCTTCTATTCTATTTTCTACTTAGCTGTGAGTGATCTTTACTTGTGACCTTAGTTTTAAATTTCAGTGATTACATTTTCCTATCTAGACATTATCTGGCTCTTTTTCAAATGTCTTGTCTGTTTGTATTTTTGACACCATATTCATTTTTTGACTCTATCTTTTATTTCATTATATGTAAGCAGCCACCTGTAAAGTTCTTGAGAAAGGATGCTGTTTGTTTCTGCTGACCCTTACTCATTGTGATTTATTTCCATGTATGTTATAAATTCCAGATTGGATTGGAATTGATTTTGTATAAATCAAGGTTAATAGTGTATCCTTTCAGAAACAATTTGCATTTGCTTCTGCCAGGCACCATCATGCGTAGGATAACAGCGTGTGGTTTTCTGGACCGCAGAGGTAGTTTAAGTATGAGCTCCGTCCCTTGCAATCCGCGCCCAGGCCGAGGCAGACGAGCAGCTCCTTGGTCTCCTTTTGCTGGTGGGCTGCGCTGTTTCTCCCAGTCTGTGCTTTCCCTGCAGGGAGCTTTTGGCTCGACTTCCCAGCTTGCAGATGCTCAAACCCTTGTTGCTGTTGGGACTGAGCAATGTTCCAAGGGCAGTGAAAACTTCAACTGGAATTATAGGATTATACCTGCCTATAATGTTTGGGGGCAACTGCAGGCAGAAAGCAGAGCTCTGTCTGGCAGGGAGGGAGGCTGCTGACTTTGTGCTGCTGCAGTGACACCTCTTGGAGACAGCACCTGCTCCTGCCGAGTGCCCGACACCAAACAGCGAGAACTGCCTAATGCAGAGTCTGTTTGTTCTGCCTGCAGCACCCCCAAACAAAAGCTGGGGGGTAAACAAAGTAATTGTTATGGAATCAAGAGGTTATGGTGACCAGTGGTGATCTAGTATGGAGGTGAAGTACCAGCCTGGACTGTATCATTTATTAATACATTGCAGGTTGTTGTGAAGTAAGCAAGCTTGGAGTAGCAGGAGATATCCCATACCTAGAATTGGCCTAATGTCAACTGAAGTTCTAAAGCTGTTAAAGCAGTAATAAAGATAAAAAGGTATACCTTCTTGTGTTGCCGATCTGTTCGCAGAGCCCATAGGCAGCATGTCATCCATGGAGGTGAACGTGGACATGCTGGAGCAGATGGACCTGATGGACATATCCGACCAGGAGGCCCTGGACGTCTTCTTGAATTCAGGCGGAGAAGATAACGCGGTGCCGTCCCCCGTCTTAGGTAGGGTTGACAGACTTGCATAAATGTAACCACGGATTTATTAATATCACTCCTCCCTACAAAGAGAGGACATCAGAACTGTCTGACCTGACACGACATACAGATCCCTAAGCGCACAGCCCCCTTCTCATCCCACTAACCCACGTTTCCACATACCTGGGTTTGGTCTGACAACAGTGAGGCAAAGGAAATGGTGGTGGTTTTTTCTCCAAAGATTGTGGTGTTCTACCACAATACGTTCAGTGAATAGAAGTGTTGTGTTTTACCTCCTTCTCCATCCCAGAAATTGATTTGAATTGGGTTTTTAATCAGGGACTAAAATTTGGAGTAGGTAGAGACACACCTTGCACCTGGTCTAAGCATGTGGTTTTTTGGTTTTTTAACTCTTCCTACTTCCACAGATATTGATGGAAAGTCTGCTGTGGGCATGGCGGCCACGCTGTGTGTTCAGCACTTGGCTTGTATTATAAAAATTAGCTGCAAACCTATGGGCACTTTTAGCTCCATTTCATGCCTTCCCAAAATTTTGTTTCATGTTCAAATATTTACTGAAGCTCCAGACCTGTGCTAGACCTATGCCGGGGCTCAGTTCATTTGAAATTTCAGACCAGCTCTTCTGGTTGGGTACAAGCAAAGCTCAGTCCTCCCAGCAGCACCGTACCCACCTGTAGAAAGTTCTGTCATTACCATGATTTCCACTTTCTCTAAACTCCTCTTCTCCTCCCAGCGAATCCGTGAAAGTGGTGTTACCCTAGGGAAGAGCAGGGGCCTGGGTGCATTTGCCCCTGTCCTAAGACAGAATACTGGAAATGGGAATTAATGCCGGCCCTTCTCTGAGTCAAGGGGACAGACAAATGGTGACATCTGCACATGGAGTTTTGATTTCTTGAACTTATTTAGTTCCCATGAAATTGGAGAAATGCTGAAAGGTCAGTACTTTCTCTCTTAGCACTGGTGTCTCTGAATCATTTAAAAGGATAAAAAGAAGTAAATCTAGATTATCAAGGTTACAGGAACTGCTCCTCAAAGACATGCAGCACTTGCCCCTGGGCCTTTAAGCACACTGTGTCGCTGGATGTTACGTAGTTAGAAAGAGTTCTGTCTGACATAGGTGGCTGGCTCAGCGCAGGGACCCTGGTGTCACTTAGCTCAGTCTTCCAGGGCAGTTTCCTGCACTGTGATGAGCATCCTGGTTCTGCAGACCCCAGAGCACTGCGACGAAAACCGTCCGCGTCTGTCACTCTGAGCACGCTCAGCAGCTGTCATCAGTGGCAATTCTAAGTTGCAATACTCTCATGGCCCGTTTTTTTCTGCTTTATTTTGCAGGGCCTGAATCCAGTACTTGTCAGAATGAAATTACGCTTCAGGTTCCAAATCCCTCAGAATTACGAGCCAAGCCACCTTCCTCATCCTCTCCATGCACTGATTCAGCCACCCAGGACCCCAGTGAAGGTGGGGAGTCCCCCCTTGTTCAGTCTGATGAGGAGGAGGTCCAGGTGGACACTGCCCTGGCCACTTTACACACTGACAGAAAGGCCACTCCAGATGTGAGTGATGACAGCGACTCCTCTTAACTAGGACGTTCATGTTCTCCGACCACATTCACATCAGGTCTCAGCTGTGCACAGAATTCCACCTTGTAAAAAGTCAGGTTGTTTTATGGAGGTTCTTGATTTTTTTATACAATTGCCAATAATGTGTGAGAGGCTGACTGAAGAGCTAACAATAAAGTTTTGAGGACTTTAAACACTAAACAGAGGGTACAGAGCTAGTTTATACAGAAAGGACACTGACTACACACTTCCTTAAGGCCCATTTAACTCATGGTCCCTCCTAGTGCAGTGAAGGTGCCAGGATTGGGGGGCGAGGTGCTGCCCAGGAGGCTGGGTGAGTGGGCGGCACTGCAGCTCAGTTCCGACTGGAACAGTGAACGACCTGCCCTTTGCCAGCTCTGACAAAGCTTGGGTTTTCATCTGATCATCACACAATTGTGTGTCAGTCCACAACCAACCCCTACTTTAATAAGAGAACACACACCTGGGCCCACAGGAACAGAAATAAGGCAGAAGCAATACTCCTGAACAAAACCTGGTCCACAGAGATGTGTTCCCTTCACCACTTGTCACAGCCCAGTGAGAGGGGACAGACTGTCAGGAACTCACTCGGGGAGTGCGGGGGGAATCACACAGCGAGGGGCGGCGGCAGCGCAGGACCACATGGAAACCATGTGATTTGCGCAAAGGGGACTCAACCCCAGCAGACGGCAGTCAGAAGTGTGCTGTCAGCTCCACTCCCTGGCTGGAGGGAGGCCTTCTCAGCCCCCTGCCCTGTGATCAGAAAAGAACTCGTTTCATTAACTCATCTTCCACAAAGACAGACAAATGTCCAAAAAACTTTGTTTTTATTATTAAACCTTGTATTACAAACCTGAAAAGTAAACAAAAAACTCGCAATAAACCACATGAAGTCTTCCCTCCCGAGGGAGGGGTGCAGAGCAGCGCTAATAAATTAAATGTCAAACTGTAAGCCAGAGGCAGAAGTTCACTGTCAAAGAGAGGGAAAAGTACACAGCAAGGCCATAAAAACCGGACAACCACATTGGAAAACACTTGACTCTGTTTATGTCATTGTTAAATATTCCAAAACAGTTCAGTCTTCTGCAACAACAACCAACAAAGTGGATCATAGGACGTTCCTGGCAGTCACCACTGGCAAGCTCAGTGCAATATGGGTAGCTACGGGATTGATGAATCCAATTATGAAACAAAGAACAGCTTGTGAAAACAGTTTCCCTTTTTTATTCCACACATACTGTACACACAACCGGAGAAGGGCAACAGCTACTCCATTATTATTTTTTTGTTGTTGTTCAGTGATGTAAGCAGCACTTATAAATGTTACAAGAAAAACCCTGTAAGCATCCAATCCAACCGATGAAGAAACTGAAATGTAAGGCTTTTCTTCATCTTGTCTTCTCACCCCCTCCCCACCCCCCACCAAGAAAAAGGCTCAAGTATTTAAAACAATTTACAGGCATATGTACAAAAGGGATGGGATTCTTTTTTTTTTTTCTTTTTCTTTTTTGTTACAACATGGAGAGAAAAAATAGACAAGATGAGCGCAAATGCATTTTCACATTCAAAAAGAACTGCAGACCTCCTAGTGGCTCTAAATGTGATCATAAACGAAACAAATTTAAAAAGAAAAGATTAATGCTGACTTGTGAAGGTGTAAAACAAGAAGCAGTGAGATGAAGATGGAATGTTAGAAAGACTGCACATTGATGACAAAGAAGCACTTAATGGCTTCACTTTTTTTTTTTCTTAAGGATGCTATTGAAGGGTTTTTTGATAAAGTAGCCAACAGCACCAAAAAATAACAGAATGGATTTCCTAATGAAATCAGGCACAGGTCTCCCTCACGTGACCCCTCCAAGGCAGGCGGTCGTTGTCTTCCTCTCGCGCTTTTCCTCCTTCCTCAAACAGATGCATAGTGATGTGCTGGTAAGAGAACCTACTCGCTCAACCTCCTCGTTCTGCCCATGGTCAGGAAACAACGTCCGCCTTCAGCTGCCATAACTGCCCAAAGAAACAGAATGGGGGCTCTCCGGTTTTAAAAATTATAAAACTCATCTTGCACATGACAGAAGAAAAAGGACAGCCAAAGCAAAGCCATTTCTTTTCAAGTTTTTTCCTGTGTGTGTGTGTGTGTGTGTGTGTGTCTCCTATCCCTTTTCCGATCTAGAAAAATCTGCTCACATGACTGATGGTTTTTAAAATTTGTTCTCCAAACTTCACCCTCTTCAAAAATGGGTTAAAAAGCCTTTTTTCCCCAACAGTTACAAAAAAAAAAAAAAAATCAAAAACAAAAAAAAAGGCTTTTGTCAGCCATAGGGGCAATACAAATTAATACAGCCCCCTCAAGGGTTTTTAAAACAGTGAATATAACGGCAGTTTCCAAAATCTGACTGCAGTAATCTAGGTATTCTAAGTACAAAAAAAAGTTCAACAATTTAATGCTAAAACAAAATTAGTTCTCTAAAACCAGAAGAAAATCTTCTTTAGAGCTAGTGCAAAGACAGCTTGTATCCTACAGCAAGTACTCCAAACTAGAATATAATAATTACAAAAAAATATATATAAATCGACCACGGGTGTTGGCATCTTCATGATGAGCTCGAAGCACTTTTGGATGAACCGGAGGCTGACAGCCGGGAAGGCGGCACGTCCACCGTCGCTCTCTTGCGGGGGCCTCTTTTTGGTGTGGGTTTACTGAGACAGTTCTCAATGCTGCCGTTTTTACCAGATACTTTGCCACAGATCTGATTGACCAGACTAATAATTTGTTCCTGTTTTGGGATGAAAGGAAGACACAGAATTAGTACACAAGAGAAGGGCATTTCCTCGAGAACCGGCCAGGGGCAGGTGTAGGACAGAGCGGGAGGCGTGGCTGGGCAGGCAGCCGCCTCCCCCCACCAAGACCGAGATCACTGCAGGGGGCTCAGGACAGCTGGGACTGGCTTTCACAACGTCCCCAAGAGTCCGAGACGCAGCGGGCTTGAGAACTCACTAGAACAACACTTCATGGGCGTGGAGGGCCCCGAAATGCTTTCCTCATCAGGGAGAAGCAGGTTTCTCACTTAACAGCCAGTTAGGTGCCTGCTTTGCGGGCAACCTCCCCTAACCTGTTTCTTCGTCCCCAAAATGGGAAAAGCTGACAGCACCTCCCTGGTGGCTGTGAGGGCTAAACAAATTAAAATGCTAAAGTAACAAATACGAAGTCCCATATCGGCACACAGTAAGTACGTAATTATTTCCTAAAAGCTGCATTTAGGTGTGGGTTTTGACATTCATTTGAGGTGGACAGATTGCTCTCACCATGCAGCCAGGTTTGTACGACAGATGAACATGGCTCACGATCGCAGCTGCTCATTCTCCTGGCCCCGCCTAAAGTCACACAGCACGTGTGATCATTTCATCCTCATGACCACCTGGGACTGCCACGGGTTACCCCGACTCAGGGAGGGAAGGGCTGGGGTGAACACAGCGCCCACAAGGAGGTGCCAAGCAGAGAGGAGCTGGGGCCCTGGGGCTCCCTGGAGGGTGACACAAACACCCGAGCTCCTAGATTCCCTCTGGCTACCCAGACACAGAAACCACTTGACCTGGTCTTGCAAATAAATGCAAACACTTGTCGTTACATTTATGTTATTTCTTACAATTCATCCAAGAGAACCATATATCTGTCAGTGTCAAAAATTTATTTGTAACTTTAACACAACTCATAACCATCCCATTTTACCAGAGAACACAGGAAGGAGCAGCAGACAGGCATTGCACAAGCACGTCTCCGGGCCGGGGTGGCGGGAACCATGCAGACCCGGGCAGGGAGGAAGCAGCCAGATTCCCAAAGCTCTGCCTGACCTGTGGCCCTTGGGAAAGCCCCGGAAAAGTGAGGGCGGGAAACAAAGCACCAGCTGGCTCTGGTCACAGAGAAGTTAGTGGTGCAGGTGTAACAACACGGACCACGGCTTGGTAGCAATGAACACGCTAATATAGGGTAAGTGACGAACTTCTTCAAAACGAGCTTCTCACATGGGGCAAAAGCCACCTCGACACGAGGGCCAGCAAGAAGAGGACACCATTCCTCACCTGCATGCTGCTGGCTGGGTGGACAGTGGCCTGCCCAGACCGGCTGCCCCTGCCAAGCTCGGGGTGGGGACAGCCGCAGCCTCACTAGCTGGAATCTTGCCCGGCCAGCCTGAGAGGGCCAGAGGACCAATGGCCAGAGGACCCCAGGAGGCTCACAGTCCTCAAGAATGCAAGCGTCAGTGCAGCTGGCTGTGCTCTGCAGGTTGCTAGACAGGTTCTTACTCACACCCTAAGGATTTATGTTTTTAACCGTGTTCTGACATTTGCTGTTAACGTGAAAAAGCAGGACAGCAAAGTGGTTGTTGCCTTCACTGAACATGCTCTTTAAAAACAAAAAATATGCAAATAGATCTTTCTCCAGCCTTCTTATCTTATAATGTAGCCAAAGACTGAGTCTGACCCACCGCCTGAGTCCAGACACACCAGCCCCAGTGGGCCACGCAGTGTGCACTCAGGCGGACGTGACCTTCCCCACGGGAAGCAGTGCGGGCGTGGGAAGGACAGGCTCCGCGGCTGGTAGGTTTGGCCTTCGGGACGGGGCCACCGCACAGCATGAAGGGGGCCACATAAACTTATGGACATGCACAGTGACCATGACAGCAGTGCCCGGAGGAAGGCCCAGCGGAGTCATCGCGTGCAGCGCTGGGCCGACCAAGAGAGGGCAATCTGAAAGGTGATCCCAAGGAGGGCTCTGGCCTGTTCACAGGTGAAGAAGTGGGCAGGGCACGTGTTCCAGGAAGCTGCTGGTCTAGCCCACAGCAGTGTGGGAGCGCCACGTAAACACGCTAGGAGCTGGCCCAGAGGCAGCCCCGTGCTCGCTGCCTTAGAAAGGCAGAGTCCTGGGTTCGGAGGCGTCTCCCGCAGCCCCGTGGGTTCTGCCCGTTCGGGGAAGGAAGCGTTCCCAGCCCGAGCTCGGGGAAGCAGACCCGCGGCTGGCACAGAAGGGCTCGGAGCCCGACTCCGAGACCACGGGGGGTTTCCAGTCATCGACGAGCTGTGTGAAGAACAGAAACCAGGGGAAGGAACGCAGCAAGGACCAGTCAGGGCACTAAGTGGTGGCCCTTGTGGCGGAAGCAGAAGTGGCGAGAACTGGCTGGATCTGGAACGTGTCTGGAAGGCGGAACCATCATGACTACACGTGTGGGCTGAGAGCCCCGTGCGTGGAGACAAAGGGCCTGGCCCCGACGGATGCCCTGCCCCGTGGGCTGGGGGGCTTCCGGAGCCGCCCCCTGGGCCTCGTCCAGTGCAACCTTCCCACTAAGTGGCCGCAGGCCCCCCAGGTGCCTGTGCTGAAGGAAAGGGGCTGTCAGAGCCTGGCGTGTGATCTGAAATTGTCAACTTGGAGTCCCCATACAGACAAAAGACGCCCCGACTAGTGCTGAGAACGGGGGAGTGTCGCCACGCGAAGAGACAGGTGTCCACTGTGTGCAAGCTCCAGGACATAGGCACACCACCCTGGGGGCCCCGCCCAGGCCCAGCGGGTCGTGTGACAACGGTCACCCTAAACCTGTGGGTGGGCTCGCAGCACCACAGCCCAGCATGCAGCGGCCTGCAGGGTGGAGGCGCGGGAGCTGGCTCGCCGCACAGGATCCCACGGCGTGGCCCAGAGCGGGCGTTCCCTTTGCAGCGCTGTCAGCGACACCCCCCGGAGGGGTGGGGAGACCAACACAGGACATCCGCTGAGCTGTGGCCAGGGGAAGGGGAAGGGGACTAACTCATTTCCGTGCGTCTCAGAGACTGTGCGGGGCTACAGCCAGGAAGGCCCTCTGCCAGTGTCACCTGGACCCTAGAACCCGCTTCTCGGAGAGACAAGGGGACCACTGGGCAGCCACAGCTGCTCCCCTGCCCACAGCGCTTGCGCCAACACCGGTTTGGCGCTCTCCTGAGACGGAGGAGCTGGGCCACACCTTGGCCACAGCAGGCAGCACACGTCCGCAGCGGCCTGGCCGGCCACGGAGCACCCTCTGGGAACCACACCCTGGTCCTGACGGGAAGTGCCCTGGCAGTGAGGGTGGTGGGCTCCGCGCAGCCGCAGCCGACTCCCTGCAGAGAGGTGACAACAGGCCTCTGCGTGAGCCGGAACCTCTGCCGCAGCGGTCTCCACGGGCGCCGCTGCCCCCACCGGGGGGGCGCTGCCGGCGTCTAGTAGGCAGAGGCTGGGGAACCCACTGTGCACGGGACAGGATGCCACGCAGGAGCGTCTGCTCTGGGGGCGGGGTGGCGGGGGGGCCTCGGCCTTTGCAGGAGCCTGTCTGCAACCCCCGCACGCACAGCGCTGTGAGCCCCATTCGCGAACCACGCTCCCTCCAGGAGCCTAACGAGGGGCGGAACCGGGTCAGGGCCTGAGAGGAAGACGCCTGCTGTGGGGACAAACACGGCGCTGCAGCGAGACCCCGAAACTCACTTGCCAGGGCTGGGCAAGGGGCGGCACGGCTAGCCTGGGGAGGTGTGGACAGAGCCGCAGCTGACGGCTGTCCCTGAGGGCAAGGTGGCCCACCTCCCACCTGGCCCCCTCCCCCGTGCGTGGTTCTTCCCTAAGGATGTGCTGCTCCAGGCCCCGGGTCCTGCTGCTGTCACTGCCACGCCTCCCAGGGCCACCGCGGGCTCAGGGCGCAATCCTGCTAACTAAGGAGAAGGGCTCTGGCAGAAGGCTCTATGAACATGTAGAAGAAAAACAGAAGGAAACCAAGTTTCTACAGGTGAAAGCAGGTCTAGAGTTATAGTTCCTGGATTTCTCAGGTCAGACTGAGGCCTGGACACACGGAACACAAGCTGAAGAAGCCACCCGCTTCCTCGGTCACATTCCCGTCAGGGCAGGCTGTCTGGCCAGAGCGCCCAGCACGACGTGGGCCACACTCAGCGTGGCCTTGGGCCTGCAGAGCCCGGGCTGGCTGCCGGGCACAGAACTGCCAGGCCCGGGAGACCACGTCCAGCGCAATGCCTGGGCCCCCTCCCGGGCACGCCTGGCCACCAGCAGGGACTGACCTCATCATAGCGGTACATCAACTTCAGCCCTCGACAGGACTTCTGTTTCTCCACATGGCGCAGAGCACACTCCAGGCAGAACACGACGTTTTCATTCTCCTGCACCACCTGCGAGAAGAGCAGCACGCCTGAGGGTCAGGAGACTCTGGACAGTGCGATCGGGACGGGGGAGGGAGGAGCGGAGACAGTGCCCAGGGACGGAGCAGGGCAGGCCTGTCCCCAACACCTACCCCTCCAGCCAAGGGGCTTCCAGGGCTAAAAACACCGAAAATGGATTTAGAAACCAAAATAAACCAAAAACCTGGAACAGAGATTTCAACTAGGAAGCGAGTAACTGACCGTCTCTGAGGTGTACCTAAGGGCACCCCCAGATTTCTGCGGCAGTTTCCGGGAGAGATGCCAGTCAGCAAGGGACTGCGGAAGCCGGGAGGAAACAGTGATGCTTACAAGCTCCTGAGCTCTGACAACTCCCGAGATTTTGTGTTCAAAACGACTCGGGACGAGGGAGGTGCCAGGATGGACGTGGAACGGGGAGGAACGGCCGCACCCTGGGCATGCGAGGTCAAGCCCCACTCGCTGGCCCCGGCCTCCCTGAATGGCTGCCCTGTAAGTGCGGGTCCCGTCACCCGCGGCACAGAGCACAGCAGAGTGCTGGGACACGGCCCTCTGCCGAGGACCATGTGGGGCTGAAAGGGGCCGGGAGAAAGTGAACAGTCTGCTTTGTGTGGACAGATTCCCAGCCCCACCCCGCCTCCAGGTCCTATTCCAATCCCATGTTCAAAAACGAAGGAAAAATGCATCTTAACACAAGACTCAAGGCAGCACCGGCCTTTTCCAGAAGGATCTGAGGGAAAGTCTGAGGTTTGGAGTGTTTCCAAGCAGGGAGGAGAGAACGAGCCGTGGGAGTATGGAAGTGACAGCTACTGACAGACACGTGGCACCTACACTAGACACTCGAGGCCAAGGTCAGGAATAGACAAGAAGGTGAAACCCACTAAGCAAACGCACTGATGCAGTAGAATTGTGAACGGAAGGAAAACTTCCCTTCTCGCCTGTGGATTTACAGTATGTCCTTCCTAACAACTCTCAGGGTGACAGGAAACGCCAGGTGACAACCCTGGAGGTGCAACCTTCGGAAGGACAGCTTGGAAAGGAGCCCACACGGTGCTGTCCTCGGAACCCTGGGGAACGCACCACTGTCACACACAAACTGGTCACCACAGAGTCACCCACTCATGGGAAATGAACAGAAAGTTCCAGCAAGATGGGAGGAGACAGTAGCTTTCATGAGTGATGTTTATAAAACACTTTAAGATCTTGGGGAAATGTTTGTGGCCACTTATTTTTTTTTCTTTTTAAAGACAGTATGGCTCTTCTAGATAATATGTTTTGAAATCTGAGGAGAAACCTGGGAAGAAAATACGCAGAATCAGTTACAGACTCAAGCTGCCCCTCCCCCATTCGCACACGGAAGCGCGAACTCCGTGTCTCCGAGCCGACCGCAGCTGACGGTGGGGCCTTCCCTAGGCCATCACAGTGGTCCTGACCCAATCGGACTGGTGCCCTAGTAAGAAGGTGAAATCAGGGCACACAGGTGGCCAGTGAGGACACACAGAGAAGGTGGCTGTCTACAAGCCGGGGAGAAGCCAGCACCTTGACCTTGGACTTCCAGAGCCATCAGAGAGTAAGCTGTGCTGCTGAAGCCCCGTCGGTGGTGCCGCCGTGGCCACCCCAGCAAACTAGCACAGTTGTTCCTCCACCTTTATGGTTTCTGGACCTTTCAAAGGTTATCATCTGGGCGTGGCTGCATCGTCCCTCGCCTCTGCAGGGCGGCCAGGCCTGTGCCGGAGACGCAGGGTGAGGTGGCATCACTGTCACAGGAGGCCGGGCAGAGTGAAGCCCACATCTCAGTCCCGGCCAACCACGGCCAAGCAGAGGGTGGAGGACACACCAGCTGCTCTGGGTCTGTGCTGCTGGGGGCAGCACTGGGGCACGGGGTGGGTGCCTCCTAGCTAAGCATCTCCATCTCGAGGCACGACGCGCAGGTGGAGAGAGGGAGGCGGCCAGGCCGAGGTGCTGGCGGGGGGGAGCTGCCTGGAGTCCCAGGGGAGTGTGAGGCGGTAACAGTGGGGGACCAGTCAGCACGGCCAGTCCGGCCGCCCACTCAACACGGGTCCCCACACAGCCTGCTCTGGCTCGGAACCGGGGGAGGCTGGGGAAGGGGGAACATGTTTCTAATTGAGGCCCAGGCCGGGCCATGCAGGTGGACGTGAGGACACGGGCTGGGACATGAGGAGACCCTCCAGGACACTGCAGGAGCAAACCAGAAAGGGAAAGTGACCGAACCGTGGTGACAAACGGAGAGACGAGGCAAGAGCAACAGGGCCTGCAACAGGCTGACGAGGACGTGCTGAAAAGCAGCCCTGACCCCAGACGAGATGAGGAGGAACATCCAAGGACAGATTCCAGAGCCCTCGGGGCTATGAGACCGGCCACGTAGCCGGGCAGAACCAGAACACAGAGGACAGAGCCCATGGGCAGAGACTGTGGCCCGGGTCTTACCAGGGACAGGCAGCAGGTGGCGGGGGCTGCGCACTGTGCGCTGCGCTGTGGGGAGCCCACCCCTCGGCCCCTCTCAAAAAGGCATGTGGGTTTGGGGGGACAAAGCAGGGCAGTGAGGGAGGCCGCTTGCCTGCGGCGTGCGGGCGCAGGGAAGGAGAGAAGCTGCGGGAACAAGGGCAGAGGGCCAGGCCCGGCCCGCCCGGGCACTGAGTGCGAGGCGCCTGCCTCGAGGCTGGAAGCCTGCCGAGGTCACACAGCAGGCTCAGAGGACGGACCGGGACCCATGGCAGGTCTCCTGGGCTGACAGCGCCCCTGCCGGGCACGGCCCCAGAGCTCGAGGGGCAGAGGGCCGCAGGGCAGGGCTCACCATGGACAGGTAGCACAAGTGCTGGCAGATCTGACACCTCCGCTCCGACGTCTCCAACTGCAGCCACTTTCGAGGCTTTTTCTTCCCATCCGCCACCGTGCTGTTGCCGTCGTGGCTGCCGTAGCGCGCGGAGGAGTGGAGGCCGGCCTCGAACAGCTGCCTGCGCTGCCGCAGCTCCGTATCCCTGCCAGACACAACAGCAGGCCCGGCCTTCAGCAGGGGACACGCCACCCATCCAGACGCGCCCTCCCTCAGGGGACAGGAGCCCAGCTCCCCTGCCCACAGCCCTGCTGGGGACCCATTTTGCCGACTTATTGACACAGGGAGCATCGAGACAAGTGGCAAAAGCAACTTTTTTAAAGTGCACAAGGGGTTTTTCCTTTGTTCCGAGCCCAGGACACATTTAACAAACTATTTGTTGCCGTCATCATCAAAGGCGCGACCGACACGAGTGGAAATCCAGTGCCATCTGTCAGCACCGCCCAGAGCCTCTCCCCTGGGCAGGGAGAGACGTCCCGGAGCCACATGGTCGGGAGAAGAGAAGAGGGTTACACAGGAGGCCGGCACCACGCCCGCCCGGTCTGCTTCAGGATTAAGCAGTGCCACCAGTCCTGGGGACGAAGTCGGGGTGACTGGCCGGCCGCACAAGCTGCCCAGTGGTGGCGTCGGTCCCTCACCCCCCCCCCACACCCCAGGGGGCTGCAAGAGGGCCGAGCACTGCAGGCCGCTCTCCACGCGCTCCCCCATTTCCAGGGTGCAGAGCCGGGCCCTGATGCAGCCGGGCACCACTTCCCGCTGTGAGGCAGCCTCGCCGGCCAAGTACCGCGAGCACTAGCCCGCCGGGCGTCCAGAGCCCACCTTCCATCCACTCCCACAACGAGAAGGAACTCTTGGCACTGCACGTCTTACATCAGCACATCAGGAAATTCTGACTCCAAACGTCAAGCAGAGCGAGAGAAGGGGAAGTTTAAGCAGCACCACAGCCCAGAAAGTCGTCGCCCACCTGGCAAAGCACCGAGTGGGCCCTGCAGCCGTGACGGGACCCGCGACCGCGGGCAGGCAGGGGGTCTGTCTGCTCACCTGCCTCCCATCCCGCCCAGAGCCCCGAAGGACCCAGCTCTCTGGCCTCAGCCCTGGGGGGTCTCTCAGAACCCCGAGTGTGCGTTACCTGAGCTCATCCAGAAGGGATGAGATGGTGCTGAGAGTGGGGCCGTTCTCTTTCTTTGCTTCTGCCTGTGCGATCTGGTAGAGCAGCTTCTCCATGGAAAAGGGCTTGGCTATGTGGCGGCGCTTCATTTCCTGAAAGAGGAGCCGCACCCTTAGAGCAGGCTTTCATCACTAGGCAGCCAGCAAGGCTTTTCTCGGCGGAGGGGCAGGCAGGCAATCTGAATTTCCAAATTTTGAATTGCATTTGTATTAAAAGCTGTTGAAAACTGCACAACAATTCTGCTTACCTGTGAGAAAGGCACCACATACTAGAAAAAGCCACAGCACCTCGCCGCTGGCCACACTCAGAATGGGTGGAGATTTCCCATCCACTTATTCTACGTGTGCACCTCAGTGCAGTCGCCCCACTAGTGCAGGGGTCGGTCGGAAATGGGCCTCAATACAATGGTTTCATATACAAACCAACCCCCTGCAACTTCTCTTTCCCTGAAAAACCTTTCAGCCACCTCTTAAGCATTTCAAAGACACATTCCAAAGGGAACCCTATCTACAAACAGACACGCAGGCACAAGGCACGCACGCACGGCTGGCGGGCTTACCTTGGCGGTCTCAAAGCCCATGCTCGTCCACTGGGTGGTAGCAAAGTGCACGGTTTCCGAGACACTGTAGCCACAGCACACTTTGGACACAAAGGATCCCGGGAAGCAGACGACGAACTGGCCGCTCTGCTGCACGGTCCTGTGCACCTTGATCCCCTCTTTGCACAGCACCTCCGGGGAGATCTGGGGAGACAGGGCCAGGCTGAGGCACGCTCCCCTCCCTGCGCACGGACACCTGCAGAAGGGTCCTGCTCTCAAGGAGACAGATGCTGTGTTTCTCCTTCAGAAAATAAAAAGTCCTAATTCCCAAAACAAGGAGGAGGAGGTTCTAAATAGACACTGGCCCAAGTGAGCACACGCAGCCCCACGAGCCTTCCTGTCCCCACCCTGGCAATGCCAAGAGCAGGAAACGAGACAAATTTACAGGACCAGGAGGCTGCTAGGCCCATCTCCAAAGCCAGGTGGGCCAGGAGGCCCAACAGAGATGAGACCAGGCAGGGACCAGCAGGGGCCAGAGAAGCCCTGGGCTCAGCTGGTCAGAGCACAGCTCAGGGCGACAACTCTCAGGAACTCAGCAGCCCTGTGACTTTCTGAAGACAGGGTAGGAAGCCTTGCTCATTCCTGTCCATGGCCCAGTCTCCAGGTGCCCCACAGGTAGGAGCAGAGGCACAAGAGCCAGAGCGCCAGCCCCGAGCCCAGGGCCCCGCCAGCCTGCATGCACGACTCGAACAGGCGCATCCTGGCATCCTGTGCAATCTGACGGAAACTCAGTTTGGTTTTTATGCCAGAGGACCTTTCATTTTGGACCCCTTGAGGACTGATTTCACTTTGTCCTCTTTGCCTCGAGAGGCAGGTCGGTTAAGACGGTGATTTTATAAAACTGCTGAATGCCCCGCAGCAGAGTCCCCAGGAGGACCTGCGGTCCCTGCGTGGGGAGGTGGCTGGGCGGACGTACCATGACGTTGCTCTCCAGCATCTGCAGCCCTGGGGTCCCGTTGGCCTGCAGCAGGGTGTGGACCACATCCTCCAGCTTGTTCTCCTCCTCAGCAGGAATGCAATACCTGGGCGGCGGGGACACGGGGCAGGAGCAGAGGCTTGACTCGGCCCCTCTGTGCCACCCAATGCCATCTCCCCCAGGCACACGCACGTGCAGGCCTGCCAGGTGTTGCAGGGCCCAGGGGTGGCAGGGCCCCACCCTGGCAGACAGGGAGCCAGCCTGGCCTGGCGCTTGGCGCTGTCACCGCCAGCTCCCGCCTGCTTCCCACTGCAGTGGCACCGCTTCCGCCCAGCACGCAGCCAGACCGCAGCGCACCCGCGATGCAAGGCGCTCATCTCTTATGCAGATCTGACCCACTCAGTGAGCCAAAGAAGCTTCAAATCAAAAACAGATGTTCAGAAACTCCTATAAATCAGAACAAGGCACACTGCTGCAAACTCCCTGAGCCGCTGGTGAAGAAAGGCCTTGTCTAGCCCTCCCAGTCCCCAGGCCAGCATCGCACCCTCTCTCTGAAACAAGGATGAGGATTTGATGCTGTTCACACAACCAACATGCAACCGCCTCGGCCCTCTGGCCAGCAGGTGAGACCATCCCCCACTGTCCTGCACACCGCAGGAAGGAGCCGCGCCCGCACCCACCGACCAAGCTCTGGCTGACACACCCAGGGGGCCCTGGCCTTGCAGCCCCGTGGCATCCAGTCAGCGCCCCGCATCAGGCACACAGAGTGGCCTGGGGCAAGGCTCACAGATCCTCCCAGGAGGAGCTACAAAGCCAGCAAGGGTGTCAGGTGGAAGAAAAGGCTGATGATACAGGTGGCACTTAACCAACAGAAGAATCTGCAATAATCTAATGGCAATCACGGAGGCTGGCAGGAGTTTTTGCCTGTGTCCTCTATGTACCAAGGAGTCCACCGGGGTCACACTGCCACCCATGAGTCCCTGGTACTGCCCAGGGGCATGAAGGAGGGGGCCTCTTCCAGGGCTGGGGGTGTGGCTGCGACCTGCCCCACCCCGGGGTTGGCAGGCTGCACCGAGACAGCTGGGACGGGAGTGGAAGCCTCTGACAGGACTTCAGGCTGCCAAGCCAGTGACGCCTCCCCTGCCAGTAAAAGCAAAGGGGCGGCCTCCACCGGCCACTCCCAGCGGCTCCCTCTGCTCTCGGGCAGCCTTCCCCAGGTGCCTGTGACGAGAGCATTTTGCTTTGAGGCCAAATCCTGGTTTCAGTTGCTGAGTGAAGGCAATAGCCACATTTAAGTAAAGTCTTTAAACACTTACGCGACTTCAGTGCCAACATACTCTGTTCCTGATTTGCAATTTAAACACAGGGTTTCTAACCTAAATCACATGTTTTAAGAAAAGCCACACACCATAAAATTCTGTGATCACATCCCTGTTTCTTCTCGATTTCCCATCACTGGGGTTCCAGGGGGGAGCCTTTCAAAGAGCCCACAGGTTCTCGCGTTTCCCTACCTGTGACTCAACATTTAAGCCACTAAAAAGACACTGCCACCACCACCGAGCCCCGCAACGGCCACTTCACACCAGCTTCCTCGGATGAAGAAACCAAGGCTTCAGGTCGCAGGCCTGGGGGGCCCCGGGAATGGCCAGCAGAGCTGCCCCGTAGCCCGGCAGCTCCGCAGGGAGGAGGCAGAGCCGCTGTCCACGCCCAGCTGCCCGCGCTCGCCCCGCAGGCACCAGCCGGGCTCCCAGCCACCACAGCCCACTCGGGACAGCGACGACGGCCACCGTCCACAGCACACAGACCCATCCTGCCCAGGCTTCGACGGCACGACTCACGACGAAACCCAACTCGTGGACACTGTGCCGACGCTGGCTCCGGGGGGGAGAGCACTGTCCTAAGACTTCGTTTATTTTAATAAAGAATGCTAATCTCCCCATCGGGACAGCAAACACGGCCAACGGGGGGTGAACGTGATGCCGGTAGACGATCAGACACACGACACCTGATTATCTGCAGTCGTTTCCCATCTGCCGCCGTAAACACAGACGCCAGAGACCAGCCCCCATCAGGACTGTTCTAGTCAAGAGGATCACAGGCGGGGACCGACGCAGAGTGCCGCGCCACGCAACAGAGCAGGACGCACGGCACGCGCATCTCCACACAGCAGGAACGAGATTTTGCAAGTAAACGCTACTCCCCACGCAGCCCGACAGACGAGGAGACGCCGGCTCTGGAAAGACGCTGAAAATAACCACTCGCGAAATGCCACGCGAGCCCGGTTTATATCCAGCCATCAGAAGGCTGATGTGTTCACTACTATCGGTCCACATTTTGTGGCATTTTTACTACTGCTTCTTATCCCCAATATGAGAGACAAACCTGAACACACAAAGAAGGTTCTCCAACACCTTTAGCCACCCGGATGGGGGGTTCCCCGCAGGCCCCACCTAACATCTTAACATGAGGTCTGCACAGCCCCGCCCAAGCCCCGCGGCCGCGCACTCACCAAATGCAGTCAGCACCAGTGTGTAAGTAGTCAATGTATGGAAGGTGATTTTGGTCTCGAGACCAGCATGAGGTAGAAAAGACCATGCCAATGTTTAGCCAGGGAATAGTCACTCCTGAAACAGTGGGGGGAGGAAAAGGCATTTTAAAGCTCGGCAACAATGTCTCAAAGGAATAGTAATTAAAAATCACTTTCTTCTCCCAAAACAAGAAGAAAAAGAAATGGGATTCAAAGCCAGAGCAAACCCCGTGGGTAGACGTTATCTGCGCTTTCCTGCTTGCTATACAGAAGTGAAACCAAGAACGTGGGCAGGTTCAAAGCAGACGTAAAAGAACATCTTACGGAGTGAGCGAGGTGGGCAGCGGGAAGCTGACCATGATGACCTGTCAGTGAACCCCCAGAACAGCAGTGCCCAACCTGAAAACTCCCATGAGGGTTGGGGCAGAGGGCTCCCTGGCTCAGGTTGGAAATGAGCCTCTTCTGACAGGTTCCAGGACTCCTCTGGAGGCCCGGCCTTCCCCAGGACTGCAACCTCCACAACCCCTGACTTCCCGTGAAGTCTGCCAAGCACCCGTCACTTACGAGCCTACTGGCCGTCTTAGGAATTTAGGATTTTGGCTTATAGTAGCCTTAAGGAGCTGGGACTTCAGCAATAAAAGAGCCAATTTCAAGGTTCGAAGTTGGCCACTAAGCTTCCATCTAGCTCTAGACTCTGCAGTGTGGTTCATTCTTCCACATTTTTACTGACTTCATCAATTACGAGCTTATACCTCTTTCTGCCAAACATCAAAGTTTTCAATGAACGTGCTCTACACCTGAAGCCCCCGTCCCTCCCAGGCAACACTTGGAAGGGCCGCCCAGCTCTGGTTCTCGGTGGGTAGAAGTCACTGTCAAAGCTGCCCCGGGCAGGCTTACCAGGCACAGCACCGAGGTGACGCAGGATGGACCCTGTGTTATTGGGGAGGACGGTGAGGTTCCATCCGTGCCTGCAGAGGGAAAGACAAGGGACGTCACAGACTGCCAGGGGAAGGATGCCAGTCCCCAGGACATGGAGAGAGTCCAACCTTACCGTGAAAAGGGTTCTGATTTTCCCACTGGGAATCCGCTGCCATGAGTGTTGGTGTCCACCTTGCCGCAGTGCACTGCCACGTGGCAGTCCTTCTCTTCCACTAACCTCCAGTACTCTTGCTGCAGGGGAGGAAAGGGCCGGTCAGCAGGGCAGGGTGTCTGGGCCACAGAGCACAGTCCAACCTAACGACACTGGGGCACCAACGCCCGACAGAACAGACGCTGTGCTGCCTGGGGCTGCGCAGAGCGCCTCCCGCGGAACGCTGATTAACACGGCACCTCCGTGTGCGCTCAGAACCACCGAGAACAGGGTCTCACCTCGGAATCTGCACAGCTGTGTTCACAGAGGCTTTATTTCCCGCAGCCCGAAGGTGAAAGAAACCCAAGTGTGAGCCCACAGACGAAGGGATGAACAGAAGGTGGACCGTCCACACCACAGGTTACTGTGCAGCCTCTGAAGGATGGACATTCCGGCACATGCTACAGCTACGACACGGATGAACGTGGAGGACGTTATGCCAAGAACAGTAACTGCCAGTTTGGAAGAGCTGTCTAGGAGACTTTGACGTGTTCCATCGCAACAAAGAGGGGCGAAGGGTGGGTGAGAATGTGTCTGGATCACAGGTCGGCAGAGGTGCTCAGCTTCCCTTGGAGCCGGTCCTCCCCCTTCAGAGGCGCCTTTTCACCTTGTTTTCAGTTATTCCAGAAGCACATCATCATCTTCCCTAATCTCCAAAACCCCGTTAAGCTGGGACCACATTTGAGGAAGAAGCCCAACCAATAAGCACTCGGCATCATGTCGTACCATTCACCTCAGAGGAGTGACCCTAACAGTGTCGACGCAGGTCACCACGACACTGTGTGACTTCTGCAAAGTGGGGACCGGGATGGGTGACCAACGTCCACAAATCAAGGATGAATTCAACATCATTAAATGACTGGACTCCTGCAACAGACGTCCTTGAACAGAAGCAAGAGTCTAACTGAGCACGCTAAGCCTAGTCCCCGACGCTGCCACCCGTTTGCTGACACTGAGAGCAGCGGCCTCTGGTGGATCAATAAAGACGAGGGATGGGGAGGAAGGGACCCCTTAAGTACGGCCAACCGAGCTGCTGTCGACCAGTGAGAGAAAAGCCCGGCCATTCTGGGAAGACACGGAGCACAGAAGCTAGGCAGCCCTGGACTGAAATTTGAATTTTAGCAAATCTTCTGTGTTTAAATATTTACAAAACTGCTAGAGTAAAATCCAGACGTTCAGAGGGAATTAATGCCTGAATAGGAAGCTGTACAATGAGCTAACCTTTCTTATGCCTTCGGGAGACTCTCACAAGGACAGGGCCGTACAACAAAGGTCTCTCTTTCCTGCGTCCATGCCCAGCCCCAGAAACTCCGGCTTCCTCCACCTGACATCTCTACCACAGATGCCACACACGCCCCAGAAGCAGCCACAACGGCCACACGTGTCCTGGAAGCAAGACTCCGCTGACATCGTGGCTGATGGCAAGCGAGGTGGGGGTTGCTCCGGCGCAGTAACCACAGCCACAGGGCCGGGGCGGGGCCAGGCCACAGCGTGGGGGTCGACAGCTGCACCCCGGGTACAGAGCTAAGGCACGTCAGCAGAGACCGAAGTCCTGGGAGTCAGATGAAAACGGTGCTACAAAGTAAACATCAGACTCCCCAAACCAGGAAAGCAGGCTTGAGCTCCAGTTTCGATGTCCTGGGCTCTGACAGGTGCCATCAGGAGATGTGACACCATGTGCCACCCATGCAGGGGGCACAGCTGTCCTGAGCATTGAAAGTCTCACCTGGGAAACCACAGGATGGTTGAACGCCTGGTGGTCAGCAGGTACACACGGGACAAACCCAGACCGGATTTTACTTTAAAGAGTGGCACATATCATTAAAGAAACAGAGGTGTGACCAGAAGCCTGTCACAGGCCAGGAGTCAGCACAGACCTCCTTCCTGCTCCCTGGCCAGCTGCTGCCCCTCACCCGAGAGCCGGGTTTGGTCTCTGTCCCTTTACACAACCACGGGCTGCTGAGCCCAGCGACGTCAGCAGCTGGAAGTTCACACGGACTCAGACGGGCACTGGCCGGGGGAGGTAAACAGACAGATCCGGTCTCCGTCCCGCAGCGCCTCGCACAAAGCCTCCCCCTAATTGGTCTGGGCACAGAAGTGCTCACTGTCTTCCCAGCCTCGTGCTAACTCAAAGAAGAGAGTTGGCAGAAACACAAAAATGGCAACCTGCCAATCCCATTAAATAAAAAATAGGAGAGAAGAAAAAGCACAACCGTGGTTTCAAGGGATTCCAAACATTCTCTTGCATAACAGACACACGGAGGGCAGGCAGGCGGCCAGAACCCACCCCAGACTGGGCATATCCCCACCTTCGTCACACTGTCGTTGGCTTCTGAGCAAGTTCAGATGAACCTAAGTCAAAACTCCGGCTGCCCCGGCACACGCTCCACACGGAGGACACACGCTGCCCCATCAGGGTCCCTCCAGCACTCGGGCTCCAGGGAGCAGGCGGACAGGGCTCCCTGGCTCCGGCACCCCAGGAGGCCACCCTCGCTCACCTCGATTTCAGCTGGTGCAGGCTCCTTGCTGAAACACATGTTCATGATATTTCTCGCTGTTCGATAAAAAGTCGTTAGGGAAACAGACCTTCCCTGAAAACAAAACAAAAACAAGAGTAAAGCTTAAGAATCACAGCCGAGCCCTCCTCCAGTTAGGCCACACACCTGTCCCAGCCTCTGCCCAAGGCTTCCCCAGGGCTGTGGGCCACATCGTGCCCTGAGTTAACGACAAGCAGAGAAGGCAGAGAAATACTCTCCCGAAGATTCGCAGCGCGGAGAAGGGGAGAAGGATGGCTCCACCAGCCGCTGCTGCCACGAGAGGCAAACTGGCCGTTACCTGCCAGAGATAGGCTGCCAACCTAGAGGCCACGAGCAGATGCCCTTGGGAAGCACAAGAGGCCACTTCCAAGGCACTCTGTTTAGAAAGTATCTGTGCTTCAGGGAGACCCTGCACGGAGGGAAGGAAGAAGCTCGCCGGTGAAGAAACTAATGGCAACTATGACCTGATGGAACTCATGTCCAGGGACCCCAAGCCTGGAGGCCCCGAAAGACAGACACTAGGCAACTTCTACACCTGAGAGTCCCCACCACATGAAAATGGCCACAAGCACCTTAATCTGAAGGTGCAGCCTGGTCACTCACCTGCCAAAGAAGTCACCGCTGCCCTGTCAGCATCTCTCCCAGCAGTGCCCCTTGTCACCCTGTTCCCAATAGCATCAAGGTGCTCTGCTCGCTCTGAGAGAACAGCTGAGGACACCAGCCCGGGAATCTGGAGTTGGCTCCTGCCCTCAGCTACCACAAGAGCCTGGTTCGTCTCCTGGAGGCTGCGCCTCCTAGACGCTCGCCTGCCCTCCCTCTCCACAGGGTGTGTTTGCTCCTTGAGTCTAGAAACGCTGACCGACACCCACTGTGCACCGCACCGAACTCTACAGGCTGGAGATCGAACAGTGCACAAAACAGACAGCACCTCTGGCCTCGCGGAGCTTCTGCCCTGTCTGGAGAACACGCCCTCAGAGAAACAAAGAGGGCTGTGGAGTGCGAGGGAGGGCGCAGCGAAGGCTTCCCTAACGAGCGTCCCCACGAAAAGTGACAGGGCTAGAACAGGCCCCGGACTCCTCCTGCCACTGGACCAACAGGCCAAGCAGCTGGCACGGAGACGCTGGCATCTGGCTTCTCTCCCGCAGCGCGAGGGACTGGACAGGGTTCTGACTACAAGAAAATATTCCCAGGCAGTTCCAAGCCTTTCCTGACATTCTGGCCATTACAAAGCAAGAAGCAGCTACAAGGAGGGACGGAATTTTGCGCTGACGCAGAGCGCAATGGACAGAGGCAGCACACAACAGTTAACGGCCAGGACACTGGTGGCCACGGAGAGCCGCCCGCTCCCCGCAGGCGGACGGCAGCTGGGGAGCATCGCCACGGCCACCTCGCCGAGCTCCCATCCATGTCTGCACTGAAATCTAAAAATACTCTTAGTGTTACAGCTCTTCTAGAATTTGTCTAGCAGGTTTTCTGGTCCTCACTGGAAGACCCCCCCTCACCCCCCCACCAAACAATAAAAAATAAATTAAAAATTAAAAAAATAAGAATACTCCTGACAGGGTATTTTGAAACAAAAGCAAAAAACCCTCTTACTCAGATCTAACACACGCTCACAGAATTGGCCCTTTTAAACAAACATCGACAATATATCGTTTCATTAGTTGGCTATTCAGACACAGGATTAACGAGTGGCTTTAACAGGAAAAGATTCTCACCAAACATTCGGGAAACATGGGATTAAGGTGCCCAAGAATGTACCCAGAGCTTACAGTCCCTGGGCCACCTTCTGCCTTCTGGTGAAAACATTTCGGAAGTACAAGGAGGCTGCTGACCAACGGCTGCAGGAGCTGCTCTGCCAGCCCCCAGCCCTGGCTCCACCAGGCAGCGCGGGCAGCGGGAAGGGGGTCTCGAAGCAGAGAAGGCCAGACCCTCTCCAGATCTAAGACCAGAAACACTCCTACGCAAACAGGGCAGCTCTTTCCAGAAAAGCAAGGGCTAAAGCCTAGGAGAGAATTCAGAGTGCAGTGAGCGCAGCCTGAGGTGGGACTGCCCGGCCTGGACTTAAAGGAAGACAAGTCCAGGGGACAAGTCGGACTCCTGCTCTGCGTTTCTGAAGCACGTGATGGAATCAGAAGCCTGCATCATCTCAACTGCAGGGGACAGGCCAGAGCCTGCAGCCCTGGGAGCGTGGGTTGGGCGAGGCTATGAGCAACAGCAGTGGCAGAAATGCACCCGTCCAGACACTCCTATGGCTCACTGGGCTGAGACCTCACCAGAGGAGCACAGTCCCTCCACAGCCCCCCGCCAATAAATCCAGAACTGGGATCCCAGGGGGCAAGACAGTGTGCCAAGAAACTCAGCAGGGACCTCGGCATGGAGGTCAGAGCTGGGCTCTGCCAGCTGGGACCAGTGCCCTGCTGCACACCGGCAGACCCGGGCAGGGAGGCACCCCACGCCTTGCTTCAGAGCCAGGACAGATGGGAGGGCTGCCGAGGAGAGCCAGCGCTGCAGCCTTGCTTCTTGGAGGAGCAAGTCTTCTCAGGATGACCTGAGCTGCGACAAGACCTGGCAGAACTGGGGAAAACTCTGCTACGTTTTTACTTTGCCAGTCTCTCCCCACCTCCTCCCTCCACAGGGCCTTCCTGGTGAGACCTGCGTTGATAGCTCTATCAAAGATGTCTCAGCAGGAAGGACCTAGCCACACAGGGCTGGAACACGGAGGCTGGGAGCTGAGCAGAATGGGAAAAGGGAGAGAAAACGAGCGCTCGGAGCCCACGGAGGGTCTCGTCAGGGAGACCCCAGCAGGTCAGACAGCTCTCACGCACCGGGTGAGATGGGGGTGCTCAGAGCAGCAGGCACAGAACCGTGGACACGGGGGAAACTAAACACGCCCCCTAGTCTGGCACAGGGGAGCACGTGCAAGCATACACACACCGTTTAACAAAAAGGAAACCCGAGCAGGCACACGTGGACTAATGGCGTTATCCTGGAGCAGGTCTGCCCCCACCTAGCTCTCTCGACGCCCCCTCACACCACGTGACATGTTACGTCTATGTTATGACCAAGTAAGAAGGCCCTCGCCAAATGCCGACACCCTGATACTGGACTTCCCATTCTCAAAAACCAGGTGTCAATAAATCGCACGATGTTCGTTACAAATTGCCCGACCTGTGGTACTCCGCCGCGGCAGCACGAAAGGGACTAAGATGGTGTCCTCACCCTGCACAGTGGCAGCCCCTCCCCCACTCCACCAGGGCGCCGAGGGTGCCCATCGTGCGCGCACCCTCCCATCCGTCCCCGCGAGCGGGCGTGGGTGCTCCGCAGAGCCAGGGCTGCGCGGTGTGAGGGGCAGCGCGCAGGAGGCCCCTACCTTGTAGATGCACTTGTGGAAGTCGTTGAGGACGCCTTTGTCCTCCTCCTCCTCCTTGACCACTTCCTTTTCCTGAGCGAAGAGTCGCCGCCGGCCTGTCTTGAGCTGGGCCTGGCCCACCTCCTTGAGCTTGCTGCGGAAGCCGTTCCTGGGGGTCACGCCGTGGATGAGCCCGTTCTTGGGCTCGAAGCGGGGCAGGGGGTGGAACTTGTGGTGGTCGTTCTCCGTGTGGCCCTCCAGCGGCCCCTTGCGCTTCTCCAGGATCTCCTTCTCCATCAGCACCTCCTTCTCCAGCCGCCGGTGCTCCTCGGGGGACAGGGAGTCGTAGGAGAGCAGGTACTGGCAGTAGGCCTCCTGCAGCTTGGCCAGCCGGTCCTGGGCCGTTTTGGGGATGCGCAGCATGTCTGCTAGTTTGTTCCATTTTTTGAGGTCAGTCACTTGCTGCATGCCGCCCATCTCGTTAATCAGCCGGAAAAAGCAGGCCAGGTCGAGCTCACAGCCTCCTGGACGGTGAGGGGGAACACAGGGCACGCCTGGTGAGTAAGGACACAGACAAGACCTTCCTCCCGGGACCGACAGCTCCCTAACACCTGCCGCCCGCCAGGACTCCGCCAGGCTCCAGGGCCAGAGCAGCAAACAGCAGGCTGACCGTCATGGAGAGACAGATGTCACACAGTGACGGGTCACGGCCAAGTGCTACGAAGGCAAAGCAGATCAACGGGCTGCTGTCTTGGGGGGTGATCAGGGAAGGTGTGGGGCAAGGCGGTGTTTAAGCAGGAGCATGGCTGGGAAGAGGAGAGAGCTGGCTGTGGGGTATGTGGGGAGGAACATCCCAGTGGGACGCACAGCAGTGCAGGCTGTTCTCCCACACCTGGGGGCCAGTGCAATGAGAAGAGAAACAGATCCCTGGCCCGGAGTGGGCAGGGCCCCGTGGTGGCACCCACGCCCCAGCATCACACGGAACAGCTGTGATGTTGGACATCATAGATACACGATGCTTGTTACCAATGCCCACTCCCCTTCTAAACCTCCAACACCCTCTCTCTCACAGGAGCAGAATTTATTATCAATCCCGCTAGATTTGCAGGGCAAAGGGCAATGTCTGCATGACGGCACAGCGCGGTCCATCTGTCCCTCGGCCCCTTCCCTCACCGCCCAGCCAGGGGAAGCGTACTTCAGAAGGATGTGAGGCTAGTTCTTGCTGCTTCTCTTGATCAAATGACAGAGCGGTACAAATGTACATCAAAATATTAGTATTTTTAAATGTACCCCCAGTAACTGCACCTAGATGGGAACTGGGAAAGCAACTTCCTTGGCCAATAAAGGGGAGGGAGAAATAGTCCAAAATAATTGTTAACAAAATGCTAGATGAGCGAAGTACAAATTAAGACAATTTTGAATCTTCAGAGGTTAGGGATGTATTTACATCAGAAATAGAAGTGAAAGCAGGCGTGGCTCCGGCTGACCTCTCTGGCCTGAGACCAATGTCAGTGCACGGAGAAGGCCAGTCCTGCAGACACCTGGCATCTTGGGACCCTCCAGAGGAGCCCTGGCCCCTGCAGGGGCGGGAGCACAGTGGCCTGAATTTCACTAGCTCCACTTGGTGCACAGTGGCGGGCTGGTTTGGGTGTGGACCACGGTCAGCCTTGGATGAGGAGGACTAAGATCCCAAGATGCCACAACTCATCGCAGGTCTTACGCGCTGTCAGAGTCACAGGTGGGATTCAAAAGGGGGGAGGTCTCGGCAATCAGGACCTCTTCCTCCGAGGGCTGGTGGCATGCCACCTCGTCTTGTAGAGGTAGACAAAGAAACCAGTCCCCCCCAACTGTGTCAAACTGGCTCAGAACACGGGTCAAACTGCAAGGGGGGATATCCACCCTGTATCTTTCTCTGTAAGTGGATCGTGAGAACCAGAGTCCCTGAAATCACACTGTGCCTGTGAAAAAGTTCTTCATGGAATCCTCATGCACTGCGATCACCCCGCTGCCCCCGCCACAGCGGCGCCCCCTGGGCCGCACACCCCCCTGCACAGATGCAGAAGGTGCCTCCACTGTGGGGGACTGAGGGGAAACTACTTCAGAGCGATTAGGTCCCCTCCACTGCTAGAAGGCCGAGGGCCTACGCCTGAGGGCTCCATGGGTACCAGGCCAGGTCAGACTCCTCAGACTGTGAGAAGCCTCGGACTTGAGGATGGTGGCAAAGAACAAAAGCAAACACGCCACAGGGAGGCGCCTGCTTGGCCTCTGGGGCTGGGTGAGGGGGTCAAGGTCGAAAGACAATCGACTCTGGAAAGAAGGTCCCGGCTGTCATTACGACGTCGACGTCACCTGTGCCCCACAGCTGCACCAGCCAACTAGCAGGTAGGGGACGCGGAACGTTTCCCTCTCGTCCACAGGTCTCCTGCAGCCATGAGGACTCAGCGAGGTTCCCTGGCCCCCCTGCGGTCACTAGGTGGCCCAAGTGCTTACTAAGGGCGTGGCGACGGGCTGGTGCACAGGTACGCACACATGCGTGGCTGTCCCCTCACCACCACCTACCACGTGCAGTCCCCCAAGAACAGACCACAAACCAAATCAAGTGATTCTCACTCGGGCTTTAGCCCTGGCAGGCACCTGGCTGAGAGAAATGATGAAACCTCCATCTTGCAACAAAGCCCACCCTGCTGCCAATTCTTGACACTTAAAGGAGGATTGCTAAATGTCTCCCTGCCTTTCAAATTTGGGGATCTCCAAAATGGAGGCCACCCTGTATCCTTTCATGGTCTGGAGCTGAGAGGGGAGTGTGGGACCCGCCCCAGCTGTGCCCTGCTCTGCAGAACCCACGCAGCCCCGACAGAGCCAGCTCCTCCTCGGTCCTGCGTCCTCAGTGCCAGGACAAGGAGAGGCGAGAGGGGAAGGACAGCCACGGGAGCACCGGCGACAGGCCCTGTCTGGGACCCACCCGGGGCGGCGTGGATGCACATTGACTGCAGGATTCACCGTGGCGAGTTTTGCAGCTGTCCCAGCCAGAGCTGCACTTCATCCCTTGACAAGGAACTGGCTGGACACTAGAGAAACTGAAGCTCAAGGAAAAATGAAGAGGAAGGAGAGAAAAGGATAAGAAGGATGAACAAAATGGCCTGAAGTCTAGCAGAGGAGAGGGTTATCCACCCCCCAAGTATGTACGCTGAAGCCGTAATCCCCCAGAACCTCGGGATGTGAGTGTGTTTAGAGGCAGGGTCTTGGGAGAGGCGACTGAGTTAAAATGAGATCATTAGGGGGGGTCTTATAAGGCATCCTTGTAAGAAGGGGAGATCAGGACAGACACACGGAGGATGACCGTGTTGAGGACACAAGGAGAAGATGGCCGTATGCAAGCCAAGGAGGCCTCAGGAGAAACAACCCTGCCCACACTTTGCCCCCTGACTTCCAGCCTCCATCACCATGAGGCATTTCTGTTGCTAAAGCCGAATAGTTCGTGGCACTTTGTCGTGGGAGCCCCAGCAGAATCCAGCGGGGCAGCAGTGTCCCTTCCCAGTCTCCCTGGACCCTGCTCTGATCCCAGCAGCGTCAGGCAGCAGGTGACAGCCCGGCTGGGGCTGGAACGCAGAGGGGGAGCCCACGCAAGATCTAAAGCCCCAAACATCAATGCTCTTCCTGCCACCAACGCGCAGAGCCCGGGGAGGAGGGCCGCAGGCGGCGCTGAGCAGGGAATAGCTGAGGCAGGGGAGGGGAGCTGGAGCTTCCGCGAGGGAACGTGAAGCCTGTGCAGGGGAGCCACAGGGACCGGGTGGTGGCAGGAAGCCCTCCTCCCAGGGAGTCCCCCCACCAAGACCTCACCTATGAGCGGAAGCTCGTCCATGGTGATGCCCTGAGATCTGAGGTGCTTCTTGATGCAGGCCAGCCGCTGCACGTTGGGGCCCCAGCGCCGGCCCAGCTTGTGGATGTGCTGAATCTGCGTGACAAACCGCATCTCATCGTTGAGCTTGCACTCGGGTCGCCAGTCCGGAGGGGGGATCACCCTGCACATCCCGAACTTCTCCACCTGAGCGCGGACCGACTCGATGTAGATGAGCGGGTCGTGGAACTCCTTGGCAGAGGGCCTGAGGACGGGGATCTCGTCCATGGCCGCCCACCCAGCCTTGCCGCCACCCTTCTCGGCCTTGGCCGAGTCGTGCGGCTTGTGCAAGGGCTCCGGTTGCGAGGTAGAACGATTTTCACAGGAGGCGCCGTCCGCCTTGCCGTGTGCTTGTCTGCCTGGCGTGCTCTTCCCGGCCGTGGCCCGCTTCGGCCGGTTCCTCTCCAAACTTCGCTCGGGCACTTCCTTCTTCACGTGTCCGTTCAGCAGAGCCTTCTCAGCCGGGGCCTTTTTGCCGGGGCCGTCGGCAAGGCCGGCCGCTCCTTTCATTTTCTTGGGGGGCGACTGCGGCTTTTCCGCCTGGTGTGTCTCTTCCAGTCTCCTCTTGGAGTTCCGCAGCCCCTCCCGCAGCTGCCGCCCCCCCACCTCCTTAGTGCATGACTTTGGGTTCAACCTGCCACTGACCTTGAGGCCATTGACGGCGGGCCCGGTGGACTTGGACGCCCCCCCGAGGGATAGCACCTGTTTGCGGGTTTTTGCATTGCTACTTTCAGTTTTCCCTGAGATTGTGTGGTTGACGGCGGAACTGGGCTTGTGGTGATTGGGTTTGGTTTCCTTGACCAGTTCTCTCTTGGCTTTGGTGTATGTGACAGCCCCCTTAGTCACCGTGGCAGTGTACTTCACAGTTTTGGATGGTGAAGGTCTGACTTCGCGCATCTTTTTGGCACTGGTCGCACCTGCACCCAGAGATGACATTCGCGTGACTCCATTTACCTTAGACACCTGTGGGGCAGCAGAAGCAGAGGGGAGCAGAATTAGTACCCGCCAAGGCAGCAACCGGCCCGCACGTGAGGAGGCGCCAGGAGTCCACTCACGGTAAGGAGAGACGTGGGGATACCAGCGACGGGAAGCAAAACACACGTCCGAGAATCAGACTGTGACGTCTAGTTTCCGAAGCTCTGCACAACCATACACCTGTCTGTCTGCACAAAAGCATGCAGCCTGCCCCAGGTCCCCCCGGTGGGGTTTTCTGGATGTGTTTTCACATCTGTTTCTGGCTCTTCCAGAAAATGCGGTGTTTCGCAGTTTCACCACATGCCTCACACTCACTTGTCTTGGGTTTTTAAGAGTTCACAACTGAGAAATTCTGCCCATTTGGGGGAAATGCGGACACACACGTGTACCTGTTCCAGGAAAAGACGTGTCTGCTACTCTGTGTGTGATCTATGCAGCAGCACAACCTGCCCACAGAGCTGAAAACTCTATGTGGCTAAAAAGAAAAAGAAAACAAAAGTACCATGGAAGGAAAAGCACAACAGCACTTGTGGTTTGGCTGGAAGTCACAGGCCTGGCCCAGAGGCGTGGCTGCCACCTGTCAGCGGCCGCCCTGTGTGCCGTCCGCTTGGAGACTGAGCCCTGTAAGGGCCTCCCCGGATGGAAGATGGATCCCCGACCTCGACGATGAAGCAAAACATGCCCACCCGTCTTCTGCACGTGCGGCTATTTTCCCACCCTCAGCAGACTTCCACGTGAGCTGGGCACACACAGGCAGCCTCTCTGCACTGGCTGTCACACTGCTTGGACAGCAGAGACAGAATGACAAAGGGGGCCGCAACAGGGCTGCAGTGCGGCTCGCTGGTTTCCGAAGAGATGTCTTCACAACTCTGCTGCGACCCAGCTGAGTGGCCTTTGACACGTCACTTAACCTCATGGGCATCACCTTTCATCTAAGAGATGAGTTTAAAGTCAGGGATTCCAGGGTTTTATAACCACCGCCATCTTGAAATGAAGCAGCCTAGAAACCACATTACTGAGAGACATAGAGCTGATACAGCCCGAGAGAAGGTGCCAGGGCGGAGACAGCTGCATTTCCAGTCAGGAGTGTTGACTGCACGCACTCATGGACATGCACTCATGGGCACCATGATGCCCAGTGCCACCAGGAGGCTGTGCAGGCAGCCCCGACCACTAGTGGCAGGTCCCCAGAGGACAGGGCCTGAGCCTTAGTAACCTCTGCACTGAGCCCAGGCCCAGCTCAGGATTAAGCACAATTTGCTTAAATGGGGGAGTGGAGGAGCTCAAACTTGGGGCAAGCACCCAAACCAGTGGCTCTCAGAATCCCCTGGGGGACTTGTCACAACAGACCACTGGGCCCAGCCCTGGATTCAGTGGTCTGGGACGGGGCCTGAGGACGCACATTTCAAACCCGTCCCAGGTGATGCTGTGCTGCTGGTCTGGGGGCTGCACTTTGAGAAGCCCTGAGCCAAGTCTCAGTAGAAGTTTATAAAAACAGAAAAGTAAAGAAGCCACTAAGACTCATATCTCTGAATATGCTGCCTATTACGTGTGGTCCCAACAAAGCCATAAGTTCTTGGTAGGACATCCTCTCTCATGGGCCAATACCAGGGTACACGATGGCCGCCAGCCTCAGTATTTAGAGGGAGGGAAGCCCCTCTCCGGGCCAGACCCTTGGGCCTGCCCAAAAAGCTGCAGGAAGGCCCAGGACCCCCATCCTGCCTCCCAACCCTGCAGCCAGCCCATGAAGACATGGGACTGGGAGAGGCTGGAACAAATAATGGGAAACTCCGGGCGGGGGGCCTGGCAACAATAAATTAAAAATGAATTTGTAAAACCAGAGGGTGAAGGCAGATAAGAATTTACTGTGGTAAGTACCACTACTCGGGAAGAGGAGGTATGGAAAAGAATACAAATACCTCTCATTTTTTAATTGTTTTTTCGAATGCTTCTATTGACTAAAACCAAAACAAGACAAAACACTTAGAAAAACAAAAGCACATAGTAGACTCCAGCTGTGGCTAATCTTTATTTCCAACATCAAAGACTCCAGGAGGGCAGGTGCACACGGACCTCAAGTATCATGGGTCTCAGAAGGGCTCGCTCTCTATTCCTGAGAGCGGAGGACAGCCCAGTCTTCTTCTCCATCTCCTTTTAACCCTCAGGGGTGCACAATGCAACTAAATCTCTTCTTGCAGAAGGGGAATTGCCTATCACAATGGCAAGCTCCGGACGGTGCCAGAATAACCAACTCCTACAGAGAGGTCCGGCCTCTTGCCGAGTTTAACTCAGTGCTTCTCAAACCTGGGACCGTGAAAATCCTGTGGCAGCTTTAAACTAACGCAGATTCCACAGAACCTCCCTGACAGATTCTAATCGGTGAGGAGAGAGGACGGCAATCAGTGTTGCAAAGCTCAGATGGCCCGGTGTTCCCACAAATCCTTTGGGCCTGCTTTTCCCCAACGCCACTGTTCGTACGTGGGGGTTTGGGAGCCAGGGTGTCTCATCTCTTGTATTCTGTGTCAAATATGAGTGCAAGGCCCTGTATCTATCCATTCTGGCTTCTTGGGTCACCTGAGTTAAATTTTCTGCATAGTGGAATTCTATTTAAGTGTGTCACAATCTTCAATTGGCAAAAGGATCATCTGGTTGCATACATATTTCTATAAACCTAAATACAGCATTATTGCCAAGCTATACATTCAACTAACTTGCTCTATGAGAAAAATGAGTTGCCATATTCATTTTCTCACTATTTTAGCAGTTATCTTCAACACTATCCAACCAAGTATCATGCATGCCCGTCCATCTGACAAGCTCCAAGACTAAATGGATCTGACCCGCAACACCATGCAGTTTAATTTAAGGAGAAATAAAGTACACACATTAGAGAAAGGGCATGTGTCACTGGCCATCTTCCCTCTCCCCACCAAGAGCCCACCCAGTGGCTGGGTTCTATGCCCATCGAGAGGCCATGAGGCAGCTAACACAGGAAGCAATCTGTCCCACTAGCTGTGCCATGTGTCCTAAAGGTAGGGATAAAACAGAAAAACAACCCAGCCACGTCCATTGCTGGTGAAAAACTTGGGACCCACCAATCCAACACGGATACGCCTTTCCTTAGCCTGTACTAAGGACCCAATGCGTAATCAGTACCAAAGAAAACAAAAGAATGGAGGAGGGCACCATCTTACCTTGTCACTGAGGCTCTCCCCCCAACCACTTCCATAGCAATTAAAACCATGCAGCCCCAGTCATGCCAGCCAGCACACCATGAGGGAGGTCTCCGGTCACCACTGTGTGTCCTGAGTCGTGTCCACATAGGAGCACAAACGAGAAGTCATCCGAACCCACTGGGTTCGTCTGAACCCACAGAGGTGGCCTATGGCAGGACTCTCAAATGTGCAACAGTTAACATATTTCAGCCAAGCAGCTCTGTATAAACTCTTCAAGTTGCTCCTGCTCTCAGATCTGGCAGCCTACTTCCCCCAGCCCCCAACCCAGCTCTGCTCAAAGTGAGGTGTCTACAGCTTGTTCTCCGTGGCCTGTAACCACCCACCTGTCACCTGTATCTCGGGTGATCCCAGACACACAATATTGAGGTTTAGAGCAACCAGTCCCAGTCATAAAAGCATGACCGCAATTTAACAGGCAAGGCTGAGAGCTGAGGGCATTTTCAAGTTACATTCAACTGGACTAGTACTTACAGTGTCCCAGATAAACAACACTTCATTCTTCTTGCACGAGGGATGTAAGGTGAGGCATATGAAAGCCTAGGACATCCGGCATTCCTTCTAGACATTGTTCTTAGTAACAGAAATTCCATTTGCCGAACTGCTACCCGTGTACCCTCTGATCGTGCGTGCTTACTGTAAAAATATAACCCCCCCAACCCGTTACTAGTGTTTCCCCACCCCACCACTCACACACACAATGCTCAAATCAACTCAACTCAGTATGATGACAGATGAAAAGGAAAAACTCGCATTTCCAAGGCAGAGCAGAAGATGAGAAATGACTCTGTCATGTTTTTGGTTAACTAAGCAAAAATGCTGTCCTCAGTTCAACCAGGCTCCACTGTGTCAAGCCCTGATTCCCCACGAGAGGGAGCCATTGAGCTGAGGCCTTTGCTAAACTTTCAAAACGGAGCTGGAGCTGCCAGAGTGTTTCTTTAGGGGAAGTCCATTTGGACTTTAAAACTGGAACTAAAAAACATAAGAGCCCACACAGAAGCGAGCGACAGTGGACATGCAGCGAAACACGGATGGGGAAGGAAACCCTGCACAAACACAGACCACAGAAGCAGGACAGAAAGGAGCCCTTCAGCCAGGCCAAGGCCAACGCTCTCTGAAAGGCAAGGCTGAGTTCTGGCGAGGCCCCTTGATGTATTTATAACCCCACCGCCCACTACAGGCAACATCCCTGACTCAGAAATACCACACCACAAACAAGTGCAACTCAAACTGCAAGTATAATCCAGTGAGCAGCAGAATAAAACCTTAAATCCTTTTTTTTAAAGGACTAACACGGTTTTCTATTTATTTTCCCCTCTGGATAGTTATATGTTTCAGAACTTTAAAAGAATATTCCCAATTCTTTGGCCCTACCTGAATCTTACAAGGCCAGGACTTTTCTGCAACCCCTGTACATTTTCACACGAAAAGTTCTTCCCCAACAGCCACCCAGATCAGCGGATCACCCGCTGCAGGTGTCTGCCCGGCTGTCCCTGCAAGCTGACAATTTTCTTTTCCATGGGACAGCTCAGCCTGGGTGTAAGAAATGAGAACCACACATCACCACACTCGGGGCAGCCTCCTAGTCTATATCCTGGCTTAGGGACCACACACATTTCGACACAGCAAAAGCATGCTCATGACTCAGGAAACTAGCATTTCAAAACCCTCTCCAGGGAAAAGCTCATTTGTTTGACCGTCCTAAACTTGTTACTGTCTTTTACTACATTTTAACTGAAGGCCTATTTCAGGAGACCAAAAGGAAAACATCACCCGCTCCTTCGTTCACCTACCACACATCCGAATTATTATCCAGGGGCGGCCACAGCCCACCGACAGTCCCAGGGCTAATGTTACCCAGGCACATGCATCCCGGGACAGAGATGGCTCATTTGGTATCGTGAAGAGCAGAGGGTTCGCCAGGCCCTCTCACAAAGGAAAAGGCATCTGTGAGTGCACACTCGCGTGTTCCCACTCTAGACCCTGGGGCCTTTAATAAAGCTTAAGAACTATCATCTAGCATTATGCAAGGCATGAGGGGGAGCTATTTTAGTGCCCCCAGAATTCATCAGAACAAACAGGGCAAAGGCACCTCAGCAGCACCCCCCAAAAAGTACATCCCTCCACCCTATCCATCCACATCTCATACAATCGTGTTCACCCTTACCTTTTACGTTGACATAAAAAAATAAATATTTGACATTAAAGATCAGAATATCCTCTGGGCCCATGTTTTTTACATAGTTGAAAAGATGAAAGGTCAGAGTCTAATCATTTGTATCAAGCAGTCACAAAGGAATCTACAATTTGCTTTCATTGACCTTATTTTCAGAGTACTTAACTAATGGGATCTGATGGTTTTAAAATTTTCCTTTCATTTCTCACAGTGTCCCTGTGGGAGGAGTTGGTGTGATTGGCTCCAAAGAAGCGACAGGCCCTAGGAAGGTTGAATACAGCACCTCCAGTGTAGTGAAGGGCAGCAACAGCGCTGAATTAGAACCCGGAGCCTGGGTCATCCCACCTGGGCTGATGCAGCCTGGATGAGGGAGGGAGGGGACAGGAGAGGGAAGGAGGGGACGAGGTGGCCAGAGGGCATCCCCCTTCCACACCCGCAGGGCCCCTGGCTGAGCACATGACACCACGTGCAAGGACTATATCCTGAACCACAGAAGCACGCCAGGCTCCTGCAGTTACTCAGATGATGGGAGCGTGTCCTATGAGGAGAACCGCGGGATGTCTCCTCCAGCTGGAATGGGGCCAGAGCCACCCAAGGGCAGATGTATTAACAATGCTAAATGATAGTTCTCAAGCTTTGTAAAGGCCCCAGAACAAGGGGGGGCAGGGCCATCCCAGGGCACGGTGGTGCCTGTGGCTCCCCCCAGCTCTGTCCAACTGCGCCAATTCCTCTCGGTCATTTACAAAGGAAACCTTGAACTCAATGATGGGCAAGTGCTCAGTTGAGCTAGGATCAACCGAGACAGGGACATTTACTCCATCCAACCCTCAAAGCGAAAGTGCACGGTGGGGGGCAGGGGGAGAGAGGGAGAGGGAGAGACAGAGTGTTTGTGTGTCCACATGTGAGAATAAAATGCTCACATACACATCACTTACTCAGGCACCCACAAGCCCTTTACTCCTGCCACACAGATGGGTTCTCGGGGCAGGAGGGGAAGATCCTGAAGAGCCTAGAAAAAACTTCTAGTCCCAGTATGGCCTAAATCATGCTCTAGTATTAGAATTTCATCACGGGGAAACTCTGAAAGAGTGTTTTGTATTTTTGCCTTCTAAAAAACCAGAATATGATGTAAAGAACATGCATTTAAAAAAAAAACTCAACCCTATCCTGGGGTCCTCGGAAAACAGGATGCCGCGGGGCTGAAGAAGTATAACCAACATCTGTCCGTCTCTCTGGGTCCCTTCTAAGTCTGTTCTCGTTCATACACAAAAACATACGTAGGAAAGTTCTGTACCAGTTTCTACTGAGCTAAGAGCTTCAGGAAAGGGGTGGAGTGAGCTGTCACAGACACAGACCCGCAGGCAGGGCGCTCCCCTGTGCTTTGTGTCTCCTAGTGCTGAAAACCCGGGCCCAGTGCTTGAGAGGCTAAACGTGCGTGAGACGTGGCCCAATTCCACATCTTGGTTATCATCTCTGGGAAAACTGAGACCCGTCTTGGGAACAGTGGCCAACATTTAAAATATGCTACAATCACTTGCATAATATCAAGACAACACTGCAAAGGGTGAAGAGTTAGGTGTCCGTGGACTGTGGAAACGTCAATGTGGTGAGCCTGCCTTGTCCACCACACCCCAAATGACAGCTGATTACTTAAACACATGTACATGCACACACCCCCCCACCTGTGTGTGAATGTTGTCACATGCTCATATTCAGAGAAAAATATCACTGACATCATCAAGGGGAGAGAACACTCCCACTGCAGCGTGAAGTCCAGTATTTCCACACCATGGTGACCGTCTTTTAGCCATTCTGAAATGCCGCCAGCCAGGAACTCTCTTCTGCCCCCTCCCGCCATGCTTTGAATTTATCTTTCAAGATTACAATCTCTGGGCTACTCCTGGGAAGAACTGAACCCTGTGTTAAAATTCCGAGCGAGGAAAGCTCATCAGCGACCACCCCCCACCCCCCCACCATGGCTTAGTGGACTGTAAAATGGAGCAGAGACAGGAGCGCGAGGGGTCAATGAAACACCACCTGCCCTCAGCCCCACCGCCTACCCCGCTGAGTTTTGAGACAAAATCTTGACCACAACAACGGCCAAGCCCTGAGGCGTTCCTAAAACCTGCCCTGCAGGGCTGTGTGTGATCTAACGGTGACCCTATAACAGGGGAGGGGCACGGGCGGTCAGAGTGGAGTCTACTCTGCTGGGCCGACCGCACAGGACTTGAATGCCTTCAGTAGCATAAATGCCACCCTGTCCCATGCAGACCGCTCAGCAGTGTGCATGCTATACATGTTTTCTGCTCAAAAGTCCAGGTGGTGAGATGTTAACTCATCACATCAAGAAGAATAAAGAGGCCAGGCGTGGTGCCTCACGCCTGTAATTCTAGCACTCTCGGAGGCTGAGGCGGGAGGATTGCTTGAGCCCAGGAGTTTGAGGTTGCCGTGAGCTAGGCTGATGCCACCGGGCAACACAGCAAGACTCTGTCTCAAAAAAAAAAAAAAAAAAGAAGAAGAAGAACAAAGAAATAAGACCAGGATCGTCCACTGACAAGACTACACGTCTGCAGGCCCATTCCATGGTCTCCGTCATCTGCTCTCGGCCTAACCTGAGAAACACAACTGTTCCCCACTACCCTAGAATTATCTGGAGCTCAGAGGGGCGGGCTGGAAGAGGGGCAGTGAAGGAAGCAAGTTAGGTCCCCTTCTTGGAGAAGGCGAGTGGCAAACGCAGCAGCACGCCGGATGGACGCGAATCCAGGAGTGAGTGTGACAGATCTGAGCGGGAGGGAGGGCACACAAGTGTGCCTCTATATAAGGTAATCTCGCTCTCGCTCCCCGCTCTCCTCTGGGCATCATTTCCTGCTTCCTGAGCCCTCCACAGATGCATCTGAGCTTCGTGAAGTGGGGAGGTGGGTTCCGGCAGGCACCCCTGGCAGGGCTTTACCTGTTTCCGTAAGTCCTGAGCCGACCGATGCAGAGGGGGGTGGTGGTGGTTGGCAGCGAGCCCCTTGGCCGAGGAAGCCGCGGCGGGGGCTGCCGTGGGCTGGTTCGCTGAAGCCTGCTCCCGGCGGCTGTCAGCCCGGTGATCGCTGTGCTTCTCCTTCCCGGGAGTGGCCTCTTTGCTTTTGTGTTTTTGAACAGGTTCTTTCTCCCGTGTTGACCTGCTGGAACCATTAAAAACTAGAAAGGAAGAAGAAAGGAAGAAGAAAGTCACACTACCTTGAGTAGATGATCACTCGCCCGTAACCTACACTTCCTGAAGTCACAAAGAACCAACCACCCCGTGTCACACGTTTTTAAGAGAAACAGCCAGCACCCAAAGGCAGACTACAGGAAGAATCCTAAACATCGAGGGACAAAATCAAGTTAAAAATCCCAAACATGTCCTAAAAATTATTTGCTTTGGCTGAAACGATGGAAAAATCCATACTTAAAAAATCCTTACAAAAAAAAAAGACCCCTGCAGCCCTCAAAATATCAACATCATACCTTAAGAAAAAGAGACTGTAACACGAATATTAATAGTCTCGTTCCTAGAACATGACCACCTTGAGTACAGACAGACGGGGGATCCGCAGTAAGAACACGTATTCTCAGATTTAAAAGTGACGTGTTTTAAGGCTGGAGAGCTGCTAGCTTGTATGGGTCAGGGATGCAGCTGTTTTATCTGACCTACTGGTGACAGCAAAGCAGGAAGAAAGGGGTGGCAGAGCTTTGAGCCAGACCCGTTTCCTTTTCCTAAATTCAAAACAGCAGTAACAGCTGATCTTGAAGTGCTTACCACTTAACAGATACCAGGGGAACTATGCTAAAGCCCTGAAGTGCATTTAGCCTTTGGATCCTCGGAACAACTCTAAGGTACAGGACACTTACAGGTGGAAGAGGTGAGTGTCTCGCCCAGGCCAGGCCACCTGTCACCAACCAGCACAGGAGGTCAGCCTGCCTCCCAAACCCCCCGAACCCCCCTCAAGCCCCGGGTGGCTACAAGTGGGAATTTCCAGTGTGCATGGTGGATCCTACCCACTAGGGAGGGACTTTGGAAGGACAGGGGTGCTCAGATCTTACACTCAACCCAGCGGTGCTGCTGTTGTGGGTTTTCTCTTCTGCTTTCCTGCTAGGACTCGCAAACCCAGACAGGCTCCTCGAGTCCAGCCCCTTCCCCGTGGAATGACGTGGCCTTTCACATCTGTTTCCTGGGAACCTTCAGGCCTCCCCTCCCCTCTCCTCAAACAGTCCCAGCCAAGGCTTATTTCTTCAGGGAAGGAGGAAGACGCTCTGTCCCTGGGTTGCTTTAGGCAGATCAGCAAGGGGAAGCTATGGGTGATCACTTTTAGATCTCATTCGAAATTCCAGTCAGAGGGAGCCTTGAAAGGTTACTGTGTTTACTTGCCCATCTGGCACCTGAGCAACTCCGGGCCACCGCCACCCCAACCAGAACTTGCAGAATTCCAGGTAGAATTCACTACCTGACAGCTGAAAGGGAAAATCCATCCTCCTTTGAGCTGCAATCTCTTCCTGCTGGCCTGAAACAGCGTAAGTCAAATCTTAGTCTCTCTTCCCAGCCCTTGACACAGTTCAAAAAATCCCTCTCTCTCCTTTTTGAATATTCCACACATTTCTCAATTTGTATCTACAACCCTGGTTCTTTCAACACTCACTCTCACGTTGATTTGTAAGAGCCCTTTAAATTATATTTATAACTTAGAGGTTGCAAATATTTTCCTCTTTTGTCATTTGCTTTTTTATCTGTTATGGTGATAAATCTGTTAACAATTTTTTTGTAGTTTGCTTTATGCTGAGAAAGTCCTTGCATATTTTCTTTTTTCCTCCCAGTGTTACTAATGTATAACCGATAAATAAAAATTGTAAATATTTAAGGTGTATGACATGACTGGTTTAATACACACACATTGTGAAATGATTAAATCAAGCTAATTGGCACAATCGTCCCCTCATGTACTTATTTTTGTGTGATAAGAATATTTAAGATCTACTTTCTAAGCAATTTTCAAGAATGTTACGCTTAACCTTAGCCACCAGGCTGTAGAAGAGATCTCCAGAACTTACTCTTCCCATCTAACACATTTTGCACCCGTTGACCAACATTTCTCCATTCCACCCACACATATTTTCAAATAATCATCTCCTAAGTGTCCTTCTAATTGTTTTCTGGTTAAATTGCTTAGATTTAATTCTTTCATCTACTTATTATTTTGTATAAGATAGAGGTTTACATCTTACCTATCCGGACTGAATGTGAGCCTTGACTCAAAGTTCCTTCTGGCACTAGTAATTAATAGATTTCGAATACCAAACAAAAGACCAGGCCACGTGAAAATATGGACCATGATCCTGTTTGCACAAGGTCCTACTGGATACTTACTCTCGGTTACAGAGAAAATGGAGAGCTTCAAACGGCTGGCATTTATTCTAAGTGTAAGTAACTACTCATTGTCAGAAACCATCAATCATACCCAAGCTGGCAGTATCTGTGCTAGCTTTCAAGACAAATTAAAAGCAACATCCGTAAGAAGTCATACTTCAATGTGATTAAAAATCAAGCCAAAGAACATGAATCCAGGCAATTCTTGACCATTCACCAATTTTCTAAGGCAGTGAACACAACTCCTTTATTAAAACACAGCACAGGAAGTAGTTTGTTTTCTTAAATCTCTAATATTCCATACTTTTCTCTGCTTTTGGCTGCCACTAAGCTATGTCTCACGGTGCAGCCTGTTATTAAGAAATACCAGTTCTATAATTACTTTTTTTTATTCAGTTAAAAAAAATATTACTTTATGGGTTTCCTTCCTTTATAACAGGATATTTGCAACTCAGTTCCCAGCCCTGCTGTTCAAAACAGGGCAAGTTTACTTATTGCTCAGTTTTCTCATCTATGACTGGGGACAACAGAAGCGTCTGTAGGTAGAACGTCTAGCACAATGTCTGGGGTTCAGGAAGCCAATATTTGGGAGGTGTTATATTACTGTCATAAAAGGGCCATCTCAGGTGACTATATAATCTGACTCTGGCTGGACCTGCTCTTCCCTCCCTGCAGGTAGAATATAGAGAAGGGCTTCAAATACAGCCAAACACTGGCCCTAAGCAAGACCCATCACAATCTCCTACCCCTCGGGGTCATTAACTCTGCCATGCTGACCTTGCCTGTCACACGCCCCACTCAACTGCCAGCTCCTAAGTGGGAGTGTGTGGAGAAAGCCCAGCAGAGCCAGGTGACTCCTAATGCTTCCGAGTGTTGTTTTCATAGGGAAAAGAGGAGTTGCTAATCAGCTGCCCAAGCACAAAGAAATACAACGCTGAAAACACACCCCACATTTTCTATTAATACCAGCATGATAAATGATGTGGTCAGATCAGGAGCTCTCAAAATAGCTTTACAGGCCCTTCGGGGATCTGGAAACCCTTTCAGGAGATCTGCTAAGGGTCAAAGTATTAATATTTTCCTAATAATACATAAGACATTATTTGCATTTTTCACTGGGTTGATATTTGCACTGATGGTACAGAACAAAGGTGGGTCAACCATCAAGGAAATGCAAATCATAATCACAATGAGATACCACTTCATGTCCACTAGGATGGTCCAAAAGATGGATGACGATGAGTACTGGCAAGGATGTGGAGAAACTGGAACCCTCACATGCTGCTGGCGGGAATGTAAAATGGTGCAGCCACTTTGGAAAACAGGAAAACTGGTAGTTCCTCAAAAGGTGACACATTAAGAATTCTCATGTGACTCACCAATTCTATTCCCAGAAACATACACAAGAGAAATTTTAAAAACACATGTCCACATAAAAACTTGTATACAAATGCTCATAACACAATCATTACTGATAGTTAAAAACTGGGAAAAAACCAAAGATCCATCAACTGTTGTTTATTTTGATAAACAAAGAGGCATACCCACACAATGGTATATTTCAACCAAGTACTGATATAAGCTACAATACACTGAATGGGTAAATTCTATGATATATGAATTACATCCCAATTTTTTTTTAATGTGGGCAAAATTACTGGTGTCTTAGTAAAAATAAAGGCAGTGGCATAAAGTTATAGTATACTAGTATTCACTTTATTCTTCATCACCAGGCCTTAGGAAGTCTTAAAAAAAAAAAAAGCCAATTTCATTTAAGAATGACCTTCATAAAGCAGTATACATTGTTAATATTATTAAATCTTGGCCCCCTGAGCACACATACTTTGTGTGACAAAATGGGGATTACACATAAAGCACTTCTCCTATATACTGAATATGATGATGGTCTAAGAAAAAGCACTTGTGTGATTGTGTAAGTTGCAAGCCAGCTCCCTTTTTCACAGAATGCCATTTTTATTTGAAAAAGGACTGACACACTAGAGTTGTAGAGACTTAGTTATTTAGTAGCCATTTTTTTTTTCAGAAATGAATGAAGTTAGCCTGTCTTTTTAAGCAAGCGTCCACTAGTTTTTGCTGCTGCTAACAGAATTCATGCTTTCAGGCAAAAACTAGAATTTTGGAAAACTGGAATCTGCCATCCCAAGTCTGATAGCTTCTCAATACTTGAAGACTTTGCTGATGAGATCAGTGGAGATGCGATTCTTGGTATCGGACAATGAAAAGTGTTAACAACAAGAAGGGGTACATGACTCAGAAAAATCATTACTTTCAAATGACCAGTACAGGATGCTACAAAATTATGCACGGTTTTATCCATTCAAAGTGAGAGACAAACCAATGGATATTAACGTATTAATAACAGAGTATGAAAAGTTTGCTGATTCCATGCAAGAGACAGAGGAAAAGGAAAAAAGAAAAAAAAAAAAGAAAAGAAAAAAAATAAGAAAAAAAAAAGAAAAGTTCACTGATACAGTTGAGGTTCCCACAGCAAGAGACCTTTAAGAAAGTAGCACTTGTAGAGTTTGGCTGCAGTATCAAAGAATGAAATCATCTACAAAGGCTCTTCTCTTTTCCAAGTACGTATTTGTGTGAGACTAATTTTCCTCATATATGTCGACCGAACTATATATTGCAAGAGACTGAAGGCAGAAGCGGCCATGAGAATCTGGCTGTCTTCTACTACGCCAAGACATTGAGGAGATCTGCAAAAATGTAATATAATGTAA